GTTCTGTTTAAATTTTCGTTGCTAATACAAATCGTACTAAATTTGAAAATTTAAATTAGACAATTATTTTAGGAGAGAATACTATAAATTATGTTAAAATTGAAAATCTAAACTGAGCAAATATTTTTTAAAAAAACAAAAAAAAAAAAGAAGAAAGAGAGTGTATTCAGAAATTGTCATTTTTTGTTTCGGCTTTCCTAAATTTTAAGCAGCGCCCAGTTTCCTACTTCCATGTAACCCTGGCCATAGGTAATTCAAAAATACAAGGAACCAAAAATCCCAGCTTCCTCAGTAAAATGTTGAAGCGAATGGTCCACAATTGAAACTGGGTGTCTCTCACTTTTGGCACATCTCGATTAATGTAAAATTTTGATACTGCCACGTAAATTAATTTTAAAACGCAGGATTATAAGATAGAGCAAAAAACAACAAAGTTTCGAATCAGAATCCGTGAACTTGCCTTTGGTGTGTTGCAACAAACACTCTGTGTTACATTTGAGTAGCCATCACAAAGCTTGGGCTTTGATATGGATGGATGAAGGCTAGCTTGACAAGTTGAGGTGCATTCACTGCGGGCGTGGAACACACTAATAAAGTTAACAAAACCAACTCCCTCAGGTAGAAGCTTCAGTTCTTCTGGAAAGATTAACAACTTAACCATGTTTCTGTCTGCCTAACACATCCAACTACATCCTTACTAGCTAGCTAGTACTACCTCCGTCCTCACAAAAATAGTCCACATTGAATTTTTAAATTTGTATTAAAAACAGTACAAAACTCAAAATTTAACGTGGACTATTTTTGTGGGACGGAGGGAGGAGCAGTAGTTTTGAGAATTTGGTTTAAAAAAAAAAAAAAACAGAATCGTAGTAGATTATATGCAGCGGTTGTAAGCTAACATACCTGAAATCAAACCATCCATCTCCATAACCCTCCACTCTCGGTCTTCTTTGCTGAACACAATTTGAAGGCGAGACCAGATCCGGGGTTAATAAAACCAATGAATTCTGAGACACAAACTCATAATAGCTCTATCTTTTCCTCTTTCTTTCTTTTTTTTTCCTTCTTCGCCGCCTCTCTCTCTCTGTCTCTCCCTCCCTGAATCTGTAATCTGTGTTTCATTCAGATATCGCCGGAGAAGATGGAGAGGAGTTTTTGTTGATATCTAAGGGAGGATGTGGTAGGTTTTTCACAGCCGCTATTGACAAAATTAGGGTGTGAGGGGACAAATTTATTGGGGGAAAATATCATGATTCTTGTTGTTTGTTGTTGTTATAAATTGGTAAGAAAAAAAAAACAAAAAATTAATGGGATTAATGCACCATCACGCTCTTACAGGCAAAATACATAAAATTACTAAAAAAAGTCCAGTCTGTGGGCCTACACATCCCTCCAGCTTTAAGTGTCGGCCACCCAATTAAAGTTTACGTTACCTTCGAGGAACAGACTAGTAGTAGTAAGTCCCAGTCATACTCTTGCTACCCAGTAACTACGTACTGACGTGGATCTATACTTGATTAATTGTTACTATTATTATACTGCTACTACTAATTTAGGTTAACTTCAAGGTTATTGTCTTCTTCTTTTTATTATTACTAGATGGAATGAACGCGCTTCGCGCGTACGTAAGTCATACTATTATATAGTGAAAAATATTGAACATAATTTAGTGTAAATATAAATAGTATTTTAACTCTTGAAAAAAAAAAAACACACACACACACATACGCAAAGTGAATAATAGAATACAATCAATTTTTTCCATAACAATGCCTTTCCCACTCCCTCCAACCTCCCCTCAAAAAAAAAAAAAAAAAAAAAAGAGAGAAGGAAAAAAGAAATCGAAACTGGAAGTTTCACAAGAAATGAGAGTTGGTGATTACCTTCAATGAATTTGGGATGAAAAGGTCATCGAGCGTAGAAAACAAACAAATAAAAGAAAAAAAAAAAGATGGATGTAATAAAAATCTTATTTTTAGAGTTATATATATTGACAAATTTAAAGTACAAAAACTTAGTATTTTATCTGAATTATGGAATAATCTTTTCAATTCTCATTAATGAAATCTTAAAATTTAAAGAAGAGAAGAAGAAAAGATACATGAAAATTTAAAGCTACAAAATTACTGAAACCATGGCCAATCAAAATTCAACTAACAATGAACCTTAATTTGTTTATAATATTTAAATTAAAAATAAAATAAAAATTAATTGAAGGGATCAAAAGTCAGAACATTAGGGAACACCAATTGTAACCCATAAAGTCTAATTAAAGGGAGAAGTATCGATTTAGTTCGAACGTTTACTCTGATTGTCGATTTAGTTAAAATGTTTGTTCTACTTGTCAATTTCATTCAAAGGTATGACTTTTTTGTCGTTGTTTTAGTCCCTTGGACGAAAAAATCCCCTAAAACTAAATGAAATTAGGCCAAATAGTTTAGAAATTTTTAAAAAATGCCCCTTATGGTATAAAAATTTATAAAAAGTATTTTACTTTTAAATTTTCTTGTCCATTGTTTTTCTTGATTTTTTTTGGTTTGCACCAAAAAGTTATGAAAACAGATCGAGAAAAAATAAAGAATACAAGTTTTTAATTAACATAAAAGAAAAAAAGAAATAATTATTGAAAAAAAATGAAGGTGTAACATAATTTTTTATATATTTATAACACATAGAAAAAATGGTATCATAAAAAAGAATTAATAATATAGCTTTTTATGTATAAAAAATTTAAAATAATTTTTATTAAGAGACTATTAGATGAAAATTAATAAATAAATTTAAATATCTTTTTATTATACCATAAGGGTCAAGTTTTGAAAACTTTTATACTATTTCGCCTAATTTAAATTAGTTTGAGGGGTATTCTCACCCAAAGGACTAACTCGACTACAAAGTCATACCTTCGGATGAAATCGACAACTAAAACAAATGTATAGACTAAATCGACGACCAGAGTAAACATTTGGACTATTTTTTGCGCTCAGTTCTCTATTTTTTGCTTGAATGGTACCAGAAAGTAGATCCTCAAACAGCCGATGCAATTGATCAATTCTTGATAAAATTGAGATCTTGTGCATCCGGAGATTCGTCCTTCACTTTTGTCCTTGATGATCCCTGTAACAGCTTTATCGAGAATCCGTAAAATGTTCTGTTCTCTAGTAAAATTTAATTTAATTCCATGAACTTAATAATATTTATTTTGTTAGCCCCAGTTTCTGACTTGATAATTGTATTCTATAGGTTTGCCCCTTCTCCTGATAACTGTGTGGGTTCCAATGAAACCAGCACCTCCTGTCACCAAAATCCTCTCTTCCAATCCCACAGCCATTTTTCTCCCAAATCAAAAAAGACCCCTTTTTTCCTTCTGTAATTAAAGACTACGAAATTGAGTTTCTTGGAGAGAAACAACCCAATATGAAGCGTAAATTCATTACAAACGTGTGAAATAAAAAAGGGATTCTTTTTGAATCACAAAATATTGGATAGAAACGGTTGCTTTGATTGAGCAAACCAAGAAATTCAAAAATGATGGAAAAGTGACTTGATGAGATGAGAAAATGAGCTAAGGCAACCGAAAGAACCGAGGGGAGAAACAGCAAGAAATTGGCTGGAAGCGCCATTTATATATTTGTACAAAATCCATCTCCTACGTAAAGGGTAGGACGTAGATTGTGGGGGACAAAGGGATAAACTCTCTATTGTGATGATGGAGTAAAGATGGAAAGATGATGTAGGGGTTTGTTTTTCGAAGCAACACTGTTGTTCAATAAAATTAATTAAAAAAAACAAAATGTAAATGGTTGGCGCGCAGTTTTCACATTTATGTGGATCTTGGTTGTCATTATCAAATTGGAAATGTTTTGGTAGAAAGGATAGGGATGAAGATAGATTAGGATAGGGGGATAATGCTTAAGCCTAAATAGCGGCTTCAAATTTGAAGAGTTTAGTGAGAAAAAAATGTACTACCTATTACCTATTAAGGGATAAACTCTCTTAGTCATTTTTCCTATTAATTTTAAAATTTTTGACAACTAAGTTATCGATCTTCATCAAAAGTATTTTAAGTCGTACCCTTTTTATTAATTTAAGATATTCTATTATCTTTTAGTCAAATTTTTTAAAAATATTTACGTACAAAGCAAATCACCATATAAAATGGAGTGGCATCTTTGGTTGCTTTTTTAATGTTTTGGGAAAGGTATCTTTGGTTGTTGTAAATTCTAATATACTACCTCCGGTTTTTTTATCTGTCGTTTTAGAGTAAATCCAAAGTGTTTTTTTATCTATCGCACTTTATTTCCAATGTAATATTAAATACTGCTTTTCTAATTTTACCCATATCTCTTTTTACTTTAAATAACATATATTAATGATAACTACCTACTCTTTCACTTCAATTTCAAATTTTTTAGAATTTCAATACTTTTAATTATGGGCAAGAAAGACAATACCCTTATAAATTTAATTCTCAATCATTATTTTTTAGTATTTGTGCAAATCCTAAAACGACATGTTAAAAAAAACAAAGGTAGTACATCTTCTCTTTACCCCTTTTCCAAATGACCGTGGGTCGTCAACATTTCGTAATTCCCCCTTTGCCCCGCTTTTGTCCAGAATCAAAATGAACTAGTTTACAATTGTTAACATTATCATAGGAAACTCATCTCCTTCATAAGTTCTAGGTTGAAGTAAGGAGTTGGGTGAATGGGGCTAACCATATGTTTGGGTTTCCATATCAAATGCGGATGGGGCTTCCCAAGCGTCTGGGCATCACAGCTTTCACAATCCGTTTTGCACGCGAAAAAATTAAAAAATAAAATGAAAGGAAATCACCTGCTTCCTTTTTTTTTTTTTTGTGATGAATTGAATCTTGGGTTGCAATCTTAGGATGATTTTAGTTGAAGTCACAACACCGAAAGATTGAAGAAAGAGTAAAAATACAATTAGATGAAAAGAACGTAAAAAAATTCTCTTGTTTCAGAGACAATACCATTAGTCGACTGACATTTTTCTTTGATGACTGTTAAATTTTTGCTTGAAAAGAAACAATTACAGTTTCTGTCACAGTTTAGTTAAGTGGGCATTTTCTAGCAACAATCACAAGTCTTCCCATTGCTAGGAATTTTAAGACAAATATTGTTATTTAGGAACATTTTAGTTGATGATCATCTATTAACGTTTCACATACAAGATAATTTCTGGAGCTACAAATTCTAAAATATTTTCAGTTAAAACTACAAAAAGACGGATACGAGAGTGATGATGAATTATTACATTGAATGACCCAAACCCAAAATTTGCAGACACATGAAACTCCCAACATGTGAACATAACATTTGATTATGGCTTGATTATTAGGTGATTAGTACAAAATTTCAAAACAAAGAAGATAATTTGATGGGACCTCTAAAGTTTTGTGAAAACGTTGCAACTGTTGACAGACTGTTGAGTTCATAGAAACAAATGCAGGTGCAATTTGAGATTTAACCATCAAAGGAGGAAGTCAGAAGGACTGACCAAATTACATTTGGGATCACTACTACAGCTTCCATTCGCTATTCTGTTCACCAAAATAATACTTATTGACACCATGACTTCCAACTTAGAGATGCTAATAAAATCGGAAAAATAAGACCATGTATCAGGGCGGCCTCAAGGCTTTCCCTGGTACCCCCATGGATTCTGGCTTGCCCACTTCCATTGATCTCTACACATGTCATCTATGCCATACTTTGCCCTGCAGGTATGGGAAAATTTAGATGATCAGAATCCATGTCATTGATAGGTCTCTTCTTCTTCATATATAGAAGTTCTATGATTTCGACCCAGCAAACATAGGTTACAACCATTTTTTCTCCTATTTGCTCCACATTTGAGATTTCATCAGCATGGATGTATTGGGATTAACATAAGGGCAGGGATTTTGAACAAGCTCTTCTCATCACAATGAAATGTAAAAGTACAGTAGTAGGAACAAAACTCACTTCCAGCCGAGCTCTACTTCAGCTTTCTTAGTCGAAGCATATACAGCCGTTGCATCTCCTGGTCTTCTTGGACATAGTTTGATGGGGATATCCTGAAGATCAGAGATAGCACACATCATTCCTACCATGTTTGGCATTCTAATATTTGCTTGTGAGCATCTTGTTGGAAAAAGAGAGAGAGAGAGAGAGAGAGAGAGAGAGAGAGTACCTTTCCAGATGCCTTCTTGAAAGCATTAACCATTTCAAGGACAGATGTACCATGCCCAGTCCCCAAGTTATATGCTTGACAGCCTGATAGGATATTATTTCAAGTAACAAATTGAATCTTAACTTGATCCAAACAGATCGGAAACACTATAAGCTGACAAAGACAATCATGACTAATCCTGCATGTACCTGAATAATCATGTTTGAACAGCTTCTGCAGTGCAGCAACATGACCATCTGCTAAATCCATAACATGGATGTAGTCCCTTATCTACAACCAACAAACTTGTTAGTTTGCTTCAGAACGAAAAAGGAAACTTCTAACAAAGGAAGGAGTTTCTTCTTCAAGGCGAACCCTGAATGATAACATCATCAGTAAGCCTACATACCGCAGTACCATCAGGAGTTGGATAATCATGACCATAAACATTTAACTCAGGCAATCTACCAACAGCCACTCGTTCGATGTAAGGCATAAGATTGTTTGGGATTCCCTTTGGATCTTCTCCAAGCCTACCACTCTCATGAGCCCCAACAGGGTTGAAATATCTTAGCAAGATGATTTTCCAATCTTGATCTGATTTCTGAATATCTCGGGCAATCTCTTCAAGGAATAGCTGATCATATAGGAATGAAATTAGTTAAAGCAGCTTATAAAGAGTTATAAAGAGTTCACACATGGAGCCACTTATTGCCAATGAATAATGAAGCAGATACTCTGGAGCTACTCTATGAAGAAATTGGTATACCTTTGTGCGGCCATAAGGATTCATAGCCTTCAATTCAAAATCTTCAACACACGGGATCTTTTCAGGTTGACCATAAACAGTTGCAGATGAAGAGAAAACCAACTGCAAACCAGAAAACAACACAATCTCTTAAAAAAAAATTCCACACGTGCAATGATCAAATGTCTTAAGCAAATAAACTATTGTATAAGAATACACCATCTAGTTTTCCTGAATAAACAGAAAGCTCTAAAGTCTTCTTTCTTTTCAAAGAACTAATCATTTTCGTGCCAGCTCTTTACAATGTCAAGATGGAACATACAGTTCTAACGCTTAAGTCTATATTTTATACTGGGTGAATCTTTGGATACGTAACTTTTAGGAAAAGGTACCAAGAAGGTAAATAATGGAGTGTGTGGCAGATCAAGAAATGAAGAGAATCTTTGAATTTAGTTACTCAACAGTGCCACTCCCTTTTTTAACCTCTTTATACTAGTCACAAGTGTAAATCCACAACTAATTCAGATATAAGTATCCATTTCAGAACACAGCTCACCTTTTTACAGTTATATTTGGCCATGGTCATGTACAGATTGATCGACCCAATCAAATTGTTATCAAAATATCGGAAAGGGTATGCAACACTCTCACCAACAGCTTTTAGCCCCGCAAAGTGGATCACAGCAGTAAACCTGATACATTATTTATCAAATGGAACATATGTAACTTGATCAAACCAAATTGGAGTACACCAAACATCACAGAGGTACAGAAAAAGAAAGGAAGAAAATTCCAAATAACTGCCCCCAATAAACTGTTACAACTCAAATGAAGTATGGAAATTATGATAACGAACAAGACTGATTTGAAAGAGTAAAGAGCATTGAACACAGATTCTGTCAGTTTCACCTACTTGTTTTTAGAGAATATACGCTCCAAATCCTCCTTATTCCTGATATCCCCCTGCAACCACAAGAAAGATGACACAATACAAAATTTAGCGAAACGAAATATGACCCTCCTACGATTGATTTCAGTGCTTGAGAAAAAGAAACAAGACAAGAAAACTAAGAAATAGCAAATGTGCTCCAAAACATGCTGATCCCAAAATAAAAACCCCGTGATTCCTTGAAACAAAAAGAGACGGAAGAGCAATTGAATCAAATTACCAGATAGAAATCGAGATTCTTGGACAATTGTGGCCCAACTAATTCTCTGACTCTATGAACAGCCTCTTCCACGGAGTTATCAAGGTTGTCAATGATGGAAACCTTAAACCCTTCTCGCAAGAGCTGCACAACTGTGTGGGTTCCAATGAAACCAGCACCTCCTGTCACCAAAATCCTCTCTTCCAATCCCACAGCCATTTTTCTCCCAAATCAAAAAAGACCCCTTTTTTCCCTTTTTTCCTTCTGTACTTACAGACTACGAAATTGAGTTTCTTGGAGAGAAACAGAAATGGTTGGCGCGCAGTTTTCACATTTATGTGGATCTTAGTTGTCATTATGAAATTGGAAAATGTTTTGGGAGAAAGGATAGGGATGAAGATAGATTAGAATAGGGGATAATGCTTAAGATAGCGGTTTCAAATTTGAAAAGTTTAGCGAAAAAAAAATGTACTACCCAAAATGAAAGTTAATATTGGTAGCTAAAACCATGCCTATTTCCTTGCCAAACCTTCCATATTTATGGTAAGAATCACCAAGCTAAAAGCTTGATGTAGGTTTGTGTTATGAAAGAGTAACTAAACACATAAAGAGACAATTGAAAAAGCTCGTAAATTCTGGTCATTGTTGAAAGATCTTAATTTTTTGAAAAAATCTACTTAGATTGAATAAGAATTGATTTAGATATCGTTCAACCAGAAAATCTAGTATGTAAATGAATTTGATAAACGATTAAAAAGCGCATCTATTTATATATTGTACTAAGCCAAAAACCAGAGAGAAAAAACTAACGGCATGAACAATATAATATATGCCTAATTATTATAAAGTTTAGCTCAAATGTTTCCAAATAGAAAAAAAAAAAAAGAAAGAAAAGAAATTCATATATCGCTTGTGCAAAAAAAATAACAAAATAAAGAAAACTATTGCGACTCAGCTCCAAACAAATTATTATACTTTCTATTTTTTGTAAATTTAAAGTGGGATCTCATTGAATTGTATTAATTTTTTAAGGGATAAAATAATTAAAACAACCAAAATTTGGAGGACTAATGAACAATTACACTAAGTTTTATTTGGAGGATTTATAAGAAAATTACATCTAGGATTTTTGTTTATGTGTCACTCTAGGGATAAATGTTGTTTTCTCTTTCTGATTTTTTTCTTTTAGAATATATATACTATAGAAGACTATAGATAGATAGATAGATTTTTTATTAAAAATTGAAATTTAAACTCAATAACCATTTAACGGGAGTACGATATTAAGATTATATGTAACGTTAAATTGTTTCAAAAAAAAATGGGAATTAATAAAAGAAAGAAGAAAAGATCTCTTATCAAAAGGTTGGAACCTACATATATACCCCAAAATCAATCTTTCAAATTAAAACATACTAACAGTTAAACCGATTTAGAGTCACATGTGGAACAACCCGTAGAACATTATTAAGTTCTAACTATTAGTACTTATAATCAATAAATGTGGTTATACATTTCCAATTTTTATTGTAGATGATTTACAGCACAAATAAAAACATATTCTAATAACTATTGGAGATTTTCCCATGATTCCTCAAAAATTACTAGTATCGTAAGTGACAGTCGAATTGCTCAAACTTGGGAAATTCAAAGAGTAAGATATGTCTATTGGCGATTCATTTACATTTTGTTTTTAAGGAAATACATTTTTTTTTCTAAATGTCGTATTATTTACAAAAGAAGAGCTATTATTAAATCTTAGTAGAAATGAGAACTCTCATAAGCATAGAAAAAGCTAATATTAAGTTGAAACAATTTATACAATTGTTAATTGTACACCACATAAATAGTAAAAGAATCAATAATTGAAGGGAGGAAAAGTCACAAAAATAATTTAATATAAAGAATAGAAAGGAAGATACATAAAGAAAAAAAGAGGCCAATCTTTATAGACGTTCGTCCAAAACACTCCGTAGTACTATGATGAGCCTTATATGACGTGACTCGTGGTTTATCAATTATATATTACTCCCTCCATTCCAAAATAAGTGTTGTTTTAGCAAAATGGATTTTTTGTCAAAAATTTCCAAACATACCCTCAAAAAAATAATATTATTGTTGAACATTTATTTTAATGGGGTTAGTTGAGGATATTCTAGTAATTTACCTACCCTATTTAAGTGTTTCTTAAACTGTGTGCAAACTCTAGAATGACACTTATTTTGGAATAGAGGGGGTATTATATAGTATTATCTAAAAGGTTGTGTGGGGGTCTTTAGAATATTTATTGCTTTTAAATAACCTTCCCCATTTTAACATTTCAGAATTACTTCTAAAATAATCTTCAAAATAAACTTCCTCAACTTTCACCCAAACTTCAATTTCATCCTAATATATTAAGAGAGCATTAATTTCATCATAATATATCATAATTTAATTCTTCCGTCACCCAATAACAAATTCCGGCCATTGACTTGGTCAAAGATCTCCAGAAAATATAGTTTATATTTTTAAATTTCAAGACAGTCTACTATTATTTTTCATAAGTGTCCTCACTATTTCTTCCGATTAGGGGGAAGCTAAGCTCTTTAACTTTTTTTTTTTCTTTTTTTTTTTCCAGATTCAATCATTTCCATAGCACTTCAACTTGATTAATTAACAAAATTATTAGCCAAACCTGATTAAGAACAAAATTTCCTCTTTCGCTCTATTTAAAAATTTCACAAGTGACAACAACAATTATATAAAAATTAATTAAAAAAAACTAAATTTTTTATGGGGTGGGCTTCTTGTATGTGAATCATTTCAATGCTCAGTATCATTATAACTATCACAAAGAGAAGGAGAGATTTTTATGTAGTAATAAAAAGTTATCTCAACATAATTTGAAGACAATCTAATCTCATGATTAGAGTAGGTTCAATAAATGATAAAAAAAATTAAATTATTAATGAAACTGAACTAGAATATCAACAACCCATTTTAGCCCCAAAAATATTTAAATCTTACATTTGCAGTAGTCTTCTAACCCTAGAAGGCTAGAAGCAACAACTTTGATGAGATGCCAATCCCTAAATGTATGGGTTTTCTAGGAAGAGTGTGAATGAAAGTTGGATTCTTATTTTGCAGAATATGATTTGTAATTAGATTTGTTTAATAGTGTTTTTTTAATTTATCCAAGCTTTTCTTGAAATGACCTAATGTTTGAATCTGGAGGAGAGGATTTAAATATTTTTTTCTTCCATTGAATAGCTAATAAGCGAAGGATAATTATATCATAATAAAATTACTTTTATTTCACTATTATTTAGGGCAAGTAATTTACCGCCCTAGTAAAGATTATTTTATTGAAATACTTCTTTCTGTCTCTTAGTCATTTTTCCTATTAATTTTAAAATTTTTGACAACTAAGTTATCGATCTTCATCAAAAGTATTTTAAGTCGTACCCTTTTTATTAATTTAAGATATTCTATTATCTTTTAGTCAAAATTTTTCAAAAATATTTACGTACAAAGCAAATCACCATATAAAATGGAGTGGCATCTTTGGTTGTTTTTTTAATGTTTTGGGAAAGGTATCTTTGGTTGTTGTAAATTGTAATATACTACCTCCGGTTTTTTTATCTGTCGTTTTAGAGTAAATCCAAAGTATTTTTTTATCTATCGCACTTTATTTCCAATGTAATATTAAATACTGCTTTTCTAATTTTACCCATATCTCTTTCTACTTTAAATAACATATATTAATGATAACTACCTACTCTTTCACTTCAATTTCAAATTTTTTAGAATTTCAATACTTTTAATTATGGGCAAGAAAGACAATACCCTTATAAATTTAATTCTCAATCATTATTTTTTAGTATTTGTGCAAATCCTAAAACGACATGTTAAAAAAAACAGAGGTAGTACATCTTCTCTTTACCCCTTTTCCAAATGACCGTGGGTCGTCAACATTTCGTAATTCCCCCTTTGCCCCGCTTTTGTCCAGAATCAAAATGAACTAGTTTACAATTGTTAACATTATCATAGGAAACTCATCTCCTTCATAAGTTCTAGGTTGAAGTAAGGAGTTGGGTGAATGGGGCTAACCATATGTTTGGGTTTCTATATCAAATGCAGATGGGGCTTCCCAAGCGTCTGGGCATCACAGCTTTCACAATCCGTTTTGCACGCGAAAAAATTAAAAAATAAAATGAAAGGAAATCACCTGCTTCCTTTTTTTTTTTTTTGTGATGAATTGAATCTTGGGTTGCAATCTTAGGATGATTTTAGTTGAAGTCACAACACCGAAAGATTGAAGAAAGAGTAAAAATACAATTAGATGAAAAGAACGTAAAAAAATTCTCTTGTTTCAGAGACAATACCATTAGTCGACTGACATTTTTCTTTGATGACTGTTAAATTTTTGCTTGAAAAGAAACAATTACAGATTCTGTCACAGTTTAGTTAAGTGGGCATTTTCTAGCAACAATCACAAGTCTTCCCATTGCTAGGAATTTTAAGACAAATATTGTTATTTAGGAACATTTTAGTTGATGATCATCTATTAACGTTTCACATACAAGATAATTTCTGGAGCTACAAATTCTAAAATATTTTCAGTTAAAACTACAAAAAGACGGATACGAGAGTGATGATGAATTATTACATTGAATGACCCAAACCCAAAATTTGCAGACACATGAAACTCCCAACATGTGAACATAACATTTGATTATGGCTTGATTATTAGGTGATTAGTACAAAATTTCAAAACAAAGAAGATAATTTGATGGGACCTCTAAAGTTTTGTGAAAACGTTGCAACTGTTGACAGACTGTTGAGTTCATAGAAACAAATGCAGGTGCAATTTGAGATTTAACCATCAAAGGAGGAAGTCAGAAGGACTGACCAAATTACATTTGGGATCACTACTACAGCTTCCATTCGCTATTCTGTTCACCAAAATAATACTTATTGACACCATGACTTCAACTTAGAGATGCTAATAAAATCGGAAAAATAAGACCATGTATCAGGGCGGCCTCAAGGCTTTCCCTGGTACCCCCATGGATTCTGGCTTGCCCACTTCCATTGATCTCTACACATGTCATCTATGCCATACTTTGCCCTGCAGGTATGGGAAAATTTAGATGATCAGAATCCATGTCATTGATAGGTCTCTTCTTCTTCATATATAGAAGTTCTATGATTTCGACCCAGCAAACATAGGTTACAACCATTTTTTCTCCTATTTGCTCCACATTTGAGATTTCATCAGCATGGATGTATTGGGATTAACATAAGGGCAGGGATTTTGAACAAGCTCTTCTCATCACAATGAAATGTAAAAGTACAGTAGTAGGAACAAAACTCACTTCCAGCCGAGCTCTACTTCAGCTTTCTTAGTCGAAGCATATACAGCCGTTGCATCTCCTGGTCTTCTTGGACATAGTTTGATGGGGATATCCTGAAGATCAGAGATAGCACACATCATTCCTACCATGTTTGGCATTCTAATATTTGCTTGTGAGCATCTTGTTGGAAAAAGAGAGAGAGAGAGAGAGAGAGAGAGAGAGAGTACCTTTCCAGATGCCTTCTTGAAAGCATTAACCATTTCAAGGACAGATGTACCATGCCCAGTCCCCAAGTTATATGCTTGACAGCCTGATAGGATATTATTTCAAGTAACAAATTGAATCTTAACTTGATCCAAACAGATCGGAAACACTATAAGCTGACAAAGACAATCATGACTAATCCTGCATGTACCTGAATAATCATGTTTGAACAGCTTCTGCAGTGCAGCAACATGACCATCTGCTAAATCCATAACATGGATGTAGTCCCTTATCTACAACCAACAAACTTGTTAGTTTGCTTCAGAACGAAAAAGGAAACTTCTAACAAAGGAAGGAGTTTCTTCTTCAAGGCGAACCCTGAATGATAACATCATCAGTAAGCCTACATACCGCAGTACCATCAGGAGTTGGATAATCATGACCATAAACATTTAACTCAGGCAATCTACCAACAGCCACTCGTTCGATGTAAGGCATAAGATTGTTTGGGATTCCCTTTGGATCTTCTCCAAGCCTACCACTCTCATGAGCCCCAACAGGGTTGAAATATCTTAGCAAGATGATTTTCCAATCTTGATCTGATTTCTGAATATCTCGGGCAATCTCTTCAAGGAATAGCTGATCATATAGGAATGAAATTAGTTAAAGCAGCTTATAAAGAGTTATAAAGAGTTCACACATGGAGCCACTTATTGCCAATGAATAATGAAGCAGATACTCTGGAGCTACTCTATGAAGAAATTGGTATACCTTTGTGCGGCCATAAGGATTCATAGCCTTCAATTCAAAATCTTCAACACACGGGATCTTTTCAGGTTGACCATAAACAGTTGCAGATGAAGAGAAAACCAACTGCAAACCAGAAAACAACACAATCTCTTAAAAAAAAATTCCACACGTGCAATGATCAAATGTCTTAAGCAAATAAACTATTGTATAAGAATACACCATCTAGTTTTCCTGAATAAACAGAAAGCTCTAAAGTCTTCTTTCTTTTCAAAGAACTAATCATTTTCGTGCCAGCTCTTTACAATGTCAAGATGGAACATACAGTTCTAACGCTTAAGTCTATATTTTATACTGGGTGAATCTTTGGATACGTAACTTTTAGGAAAAGGTACCAAGAAGGTAAATAATGGAGTGTGTGGCAGATCAAGAAATGAAGAGAATCTTTGAATTTAGTTACTCAACAGTGCCACTCCCTTTTTTAACCTCTTTATACTAGTCACAAGTGTAAATCCACAACTAATTCAGATATAAGTATCCATTTCAGAACACAGCTCACCTTTTTACAGTTATATTTGGCCATGGTCATGTACAGATTGATCGACCCAATCAAATTGTTATCAAAATATCGGAAAGGGTATGCAACACTCTCACCAACAGCTTTTAGCCCCGCAAAGTGGATCACAGCAGTAAACCTGATACATTATTTATCAAATGGAACATATGTAACTTGATCAAACCAAATTGGAGTACACCAAACATCACAGAGGTACAGAAAAAGAAAGGAAGAAAATTCCAAATAACTGCCCCCAATAAACTGTTACAACTCAAATGAAGTATGGAAATTATGATAACGAACAAGACTGATTTGAAAGAGTAAAGAGCATTGAACACAGATTCTGTCAGTTTCACCTACTTGTTTTTAGAGAATATACGCTCCAAATCCTCCTTATTCCTGATATCCCCCTGCAACCACAAGAAAGATGACACAATACAAAATTTAGCGAAACGAAATATGACCCTCCTACGATTGATTTCAGTGCTTGAGAAAAAGAAACAAGACAAGAAAACTAAGAAATAGCAAATGTGCTCCAAAACATGCTGATCCCAAAATAAAAACCCCGTGATTCCTTGAAACAAAAAGAGACGGAAGAGCAATTGAATCAAATTACCAGATAGAAATCGAGATTCTTGGACAATTGTGGCCCAACTAATTCTCTGACTCTATGAACAGCCTCTTCCACGGAGTTATCAAGGTTGTCAATGATGGAAACCTTAAACCCTTCTCGCAAGAGCTGCACAACTGTGTGGGTTCCAATGAAACCAGCACCTCCTGTCACCAAAATCCTCTCTTCCAATCCCACAGCCATTTTTCTCCCAAATCAAAAAAGACCCCTTTTTTCCCTTTTTTCCTTCTGTACTTACAGACTACGAAATTGAGTTTCTTGGAGAGAAACAACCCAATATGAAGCGTAAATTCTTTACAAACGTGTGAAATAAAAAAGGGATTCTTTTTGAATCACAAAATATTGGATAGAAACGGTTAGTTGGATTGAGCAAACCAAGAAATTCAAAAATGCTGAAAAAGTGACTTGATGAGATTAGAAAATGAGCTAAGGTAACCGAAAGAACCGAGGGGAGAAACAGCAAGAAATTGGCTGGAAGCGCCATTTATATATTTGTACAAAATCCATCTCCTACGTAAAGGGTAGGACGTAGATTGTAGGAGACAAAGGGATAAACTCTCTATTGTGATGATGGAGTAAAGATGGAAAGATGATGTAGGGGTTTGTTTTTCGAAGCAACACTGTTGTTCAATAAAATTAATTAAAAAAAAAACAGAAACAGAAATGGTTGGCGCGCAGTTTTCACATTTATGTGGATCTTGGTTGTCATTATCAAATTGGAAATGTTTTGGTAGAAAGGATAGGGATGAAGATAGATTAGGATAGGGGGATAATGCTTAAGCCTAAATAGCGGCTTCAAATTTGAAGAGTTTAGTGAGAAAAAAATGTACTACCTAAAATGAAAGTTAATATTGGTAGCTAAAACCATGCCTATTTCCTTGTCAAACCTTCCATATTTATGGTAAGAATCACCAAGCTAAAAGCTTGATGTAGGTTTGTGTTATGAAAGAGTAACTAAACACATAAAGAGACAATTGAAAAATCTCGTATATTCTGGTCATTGTTGGAAGATCTTAATTTTTCGAAAGAATCTACCTAGATTGAATAAGAATTGGTTTAGATATCGTTCAACCAGAAAATCTAGTATGTAAATGAATTTGATAAACGATTGAAAAGCGCATACTCTTTAAATTAAAGTTAAGCATTGTAGGTGAATTCATATGAATAGGAGATATTATCTTGTGCTCAAACTGAAACTGAAAATGAAATAAAAAAGTGAAAAGGAACTATTTTGTTGTTTTTATATATTTTAGAGATTGTTTTTAAAATTTTTAAAAATTATAAGAATATTTTTGTAATTAAATTTATTATTTTATTAAAAAAATAACGGAGATCCGTTCATTTAGACAGAAAATAGACCGATTGGACGAAATTAGCAAAAATTTCAAACATTAGGATAAAATTGACAAACCGAAAATTTATTAGATGTAATTGACGACGAAGCAAAATTTTGAGTAGGAACGACATTTTTTCCATAAGGATTGCATTAGCAGAATCACCGGCTAATAAAAAATTCGAGCCCGGACTCCATGTCAATCTGTTATACTGATCCAAATATTGAGCCCGATCATACATTTAGACGGTCCTCATTTAGCACCTCCGATCATACATGACATTAGGTCCCTAATTCAGCATTTTTCTAGTCTCAATCTTTAATGAATCAGTAGATTAGAAACTTCTCTTGCTCATGAGATTGCAGAACATGCTAAACTTTGTATGGTGAAGGATGTCTTTTGGTCGTCTCCACCAGACTAGTTATCATTCAGTGTTAGCTAATTCCAGCTCTTTTTATAAAGTAAATTTCTATTAAAAATAAAAAAAAGTTTCAAACTCATCATAACAGATAAACTGTAAAATTAGATACTGGATTAAGTGATTTTAGACTTAAGTGATTATCAAACAATGCCCTAACATGGTATGACAGTGCATGCTGAGTGGAAAACAATGTTTACCAATTGTTTGTAATCATTATTATATTCTATTAAAAGAGATGTCCAAGATAACAAAGTTACTGATATAGCACACCGTGATTAATAGTTTTTTTCTTCAAAACACAATATGTTAAAACTATGTTGTTTTGATTAAATAAAAACTTTATATAATATATATATATAAAAGTTTTCTATTACAAATAAATAAAAAAATCTCATTCGTAGAGAAGTTTTAATTGTGTACCGCGCTCTAATTTAATATTTTGTTGCAAAAAACAAACGGCGTAGTTTATTGTAAAAAAAATTGTTAAAATTTTACGGGTAAAACTATGATAAAAAATTCAAACAAAATATTTTCCTCATATTCAAATTCAATCAGTCTAATGTCAATCTTACTAAAAAAATTGTAAAAACTTTACGGCTAAAATTGCAGGAAAAAAAAGACATTTTTAAATATTCAAACCCAATTATTCTAATGTCAATCTCATTAGAAAAAAATGTTGAAATCTCATGGGTAAAATTACGAGATAAATTCGAGTAAAACGTTTTTTTCATATTCAAACTCAAGGAATGTTAAATTATAATAATATAAATACCACATAATTTTCATCTCTTTTTTAATCTCATTTTTTATTACCGGCTTATTTTTTGTATCACCATTTTTTTCAGATTTTATTTCATAATTAACCAGTAATCGAGTACGTCGTATTTTTTTCACCACTAATAAATATTAGTGATACATTTTAATATATTTTGTGTGACGCACGTGAGAAAACCTAGTATAGGGTTGTAATGATAATACTTAAAGCGAGATATGTTAGGAGATTATTAGTTCAAAGTTGTAAGTTTTTTTTGTCAACTAAAAGTTGTAATTTCCAGCATTAGCCTCTTCATCAGTATATAAAAACAAATAAATAAAATAATTTTGATTTAAAATTATTTCGTAACATAATCCACCACGGCAAATAATATTAAGATCCTAGGTACACCTTGCAAGGTGTACTCAGGCAGTGCGTGTATCACAAATTTAGGAGAAAAAAGTGATCATTTTAGTCTGAATTTTTAGTTCTCACATGCGCATTTAATCATCGAAATTTATCCACATTTTTTGGCATTATTCCCCATAATTTTTATCTCTGTTTTTTTTTTGGCATTTAACTCCTTGATCTTATCCCTTTTTTTTTTTACGCACGTTTAATTTTAAACCTTTTTTTTTGCTTATGTTAGCTTTTATATTATTTTATTTTATGAGATAATTTTTTTAAAACGATGGATTTTATTTTAGTAAAATTGACTATGGTTAATCATTGAGACTTATGAATATGGAGAATCAATGTGTATTTTCCCAGTAATGAATAACCAACGTTTAGACAATGAATAATGTTATGCAATTATTGAAAGATGGTTGATGTAGAATGTATTCGTTTTATTGATGAATATAAATGCGTAAGGTAATGCGTATTATATGGTTAATGATGAACAATAATTTCATTGTTGTTTTCTGACCGATGGTGTATTATCTTATTACGTTTTTATGATGAATATCTTACGTTAATTAATGAATAACGAGTTCTTATTGATGAATAATTGGACGATGTTTCAACTCTGAGGAAGAGGCTTTTGCTGCTTATAATTCTAGCGCATTGTTTTTTCAATAAAAAGGTTCAAAAATTGGAAAATGTCTAAATCTGGTGTTTTATATTGGAAACAATTTGCATGTAGCAAATAAGGAATAAAAAATTCATGAGGTAGATGATATACAACAATAAATAATTATACCAAACTGATGAATACGGCAATTTCAACAATGAATAATTATACCAAACTAATGAATACGGCAATTTCAATAATGAATAATTATACCAAACTGATGAATAATACAAAGATCTACTAATTTACCAAAAAAAAATACTCCCTCCGTCCCATAATTATTGTCCAATTTTACTAAAATGAAAGATTTTATTTTTGGTCAAACTTAACTATATTTTACCTTAAACAACCGGATATACCCCTATATAAGTAATTGTTTAACCACTAAGATTTTATGTAATAATATTTTTTACTAAGGACAAATGTGTAACTTGATCCATAAAAACTCAAATTGGACAATAATTTTGGGACAAAATTTTTTGGGCAAAGCGGACAATAATTATGGGACGGAGGGAGTACTAGTTTACAAAACTGCTGAATAACCCTCTATATCAATGTCTACACTTATTGTGGTTTGGTCTTTTTGCAGATTCAGATATCCTGCTTCTTTCGGCTTCTGATTATTGTTCTTCGCTCATGCTTCTTTCAGATTTTGTCTGATATTCTTTGCTCATGCTATAATATGTTTATAAATTCCATGAATAACTTGTCAGATGTAATGAATTTTTTAGTGTGTTTCTTAATATCAACGTATCAAATGTATCACAAACTTAATGAATGACTGTTTGATGAATTAATGAATAAATGTATATAGATGATGAATAATCTGGGATTATAAAATCGGAAAATTAATAATAATTTCTGACCCAATGAATAACATCCCTTTACAGATAATTATCCCAAAACAAATTTTACAACAAATTATGACGAATACTAATTACCAAATTGATGAACAAATTTAACGAATAAATAACACATAGTTGTGATAAACGATGAATCCGGCAATTTCAACAATGAATAATTATACCAAATTGATGAATAATACAATCATCTAGTAATTTACCAAAAAAACAATACTACATAGTTATAGTAAACGATGAATCCAACAATTTCAACAATGAATAATTATACCAAACTGATGAATAATACAAAGATCTAGTAATTTACCAAAAAAACAATACTACATAGTTATGGTAAACGATGAATCTGACAATTTCAACAATGAATAATTATACCAAACTGATGAATAATACAAATATCTACTAATTTACTAAAAAAATAATACTACATAGTTATGGTAAACGATGAATCTGACAATTCAACAATGAATAACTATACCAACCTGATGAATAATACAAAAATCTACTAATTTCCCAGAAAAACAACATCCAATAGAAGAACAAAACTTTAAAGTTGATGAACAAACATTGTCAATCGAGAATGAATATACCTTACATCTACAGAACCCAAAAAAATTAAAAAAAAAACACTAATGGTTGAATATGAAGAAAACTTTAAACTTGATGGACAGATATGCATAATCGAATGCATATACAGTAAATCTACAAAATCCATCAAAAAACGCATCAATAGTCCAAAAGATCAATAGTATTACCTTCGTTCATCTTCACTTTCCAAACTGCTTCTGTTCGGTTCATGATCCTCAATCGGTGGTTTCTGCGTGGATGAATTTTGTTCATGTATTACCTTAAATCGCATCTTGAACAGAGTATATTTCCACAATTTCCACTGAATTTGATGCACAATCTGATTCCGTCCCAAAAAAATCCAGCCGACGAGAGGTTTTCTGGCCAAATCGCTATAAAGAAAATTTAGGTTTTTAGTTTTTTTTTTTTTGAGACGGATTGTGATGAATGGGTGGAAGATGGAAATAGTTAATGGCTGAAAATTAGGAGGAAATGGTGGGATTTAAAATTCCAAAAATTGCACAAAATAGGGAATTAAATGGGATTGTTGTAGATATTGAGAGATGTCTATTTTTAGATCGCGTGAGACTCACACTAGGTACACCTAGAATCCCTATATTATAATTGATCCACCACTACGCTTTTTATTTGCCCTCTTTAACTTAAAATTATTCACGTCCAATTTTAGTATCCGAGTTTATTTTGTGATGTTAGGGTTGAATTCATTTTTCCATTTGTACTTACTACTTCCATCTAGAGTATTTTCTTCTTTATTTTTTTTTTCCCTTTTCCTCTTTATGTTTCAAACCTTCAGAGATTTTCCGTTGGAAGTTGAAAATGCTAGAAAACTAGGGAGAGCTTATGTAATCCATCAAACCCGCATGTTTCATCATCGTCCAAGATTAAAGTTTGGTGTTGATTCGGATTTAAAAAAACATTAAGCGTCTGTTTGGTATATTGATGAGTTTTACTATGAGTTTAGATATAATAACATGAAAGGTTAATATGAGTATACTCATTTTAAAATAGTTGTTAGTGGTTTGGTTTATAAAAATTTAGGTATCATTTTATTTTTTATATTTATTTAATTTAATTAATTAATGGTACACTAATTTAATAACAAAATTTTAAAAATTTAATAGTTATTTATATTAATTAATCATTTTGAATAATCTAGTTTATAATATTTACAAAATAATTAGTTCGATTGAGTCTGAATAACTATTATTTTAATATGTAAAACCTAATACAATAAACAAATTCTACGATCTAATATGACTAAAAAATTTCAAATAAAACGATCTAATATGACTAAAAAATTATTTTAATATTTTAAATTAATGAATAATATTTTAGTAATTAAATAATTAAATGTGAATTTTATGATATTTTTAATGATTTAAATTTCAATAAAAGTTCAAATTAAGTCAAAAGACGAAAATATCCCTGATTCTGGCAAGTCAACTATCGGTCAATATCGAGTTGGACAGAAAAGTGACCGCAACAGTGAAATGAGACAAAAAAAAGTGTGAAAATATAATGTTTAAGACTACGATATTGAAATGTTAATGTTAGGGACGTAAAATCAAGTAAGCCCAAATGTAAAAGACTATTTAGACATTTTAGTCTAAAAGGAAATACAATCAACCCACCTTTTTTTTTTTCTCCAAACAATAGAGATTTACAAAACGGTGAAGTACTCGTAGTGGGCAAGTCTGGGGACCCTCCCGACTTCATTCCTAGCTACTTTAATAATTTGCACAACTACCAAATCTATAAGTTTTAGGGAAAGTAATTCAGCAACTAAAAATTTCCTATGAGTTTTGGTGTATGATGATGCTTAGAAAGCGAGAAACATCTTTTACCCTTTTTTTTTTTTCAGCGATAGACAACATACCATGAGACTTTCTTTCTAATCGAAAATCCTAGAGGAAGAATTCATGTTTTAATGATCTTGGTTATCGAGATAAAATGTGGATGGACGCCAAAATCCATTCTTGAATCTCACATTTCCATTAAAATATTTCTTTTATTTTTCCCATCAAATCATCTTCCTATAGACTAAGCCAATGGATTAGACTGAAATTTTAAATATTTTGGTTAAAATAAATATATATCCTCCTCTTTCAACTGCCTTATTTTTTTTAAGATTTGTGATTACCTACCTAATCATGCCATCATTGTATGACGCATACAATGTCCGTAGCTTTAAACTAACAAGTCAAGGTTACATTTGTCTCAAGCTTATTGGGCTGTGTTCTTGCATTCACCTAGTGTCCTTGGTTCTATTTACATCTCCAATGGAAATTTCCAGGATGAACAACCATGACTTACTACAGTCGTTGTTTAAGCTTTATTTTAATGCAAATTGTGCAATTTGAAAGGCAAACTTTACCCAACTACTACTACTATGTACATGAAAAGGAAACCAAACTGCGGTGTGTGGTATAAGCAAAGTGACAAAAGGAAGAATATATGGAGAGAGCCCAAATGAGCGTGTGCGATTTGTAATGATGAGCAGAGATATGGCTTTTGTGTCCCCTGTTTCTTCTCGTTCTCCATTACATCCGCCTCTGCCGACGCCTTCGCCGTTCACGACGTATTCAGTGGCATCCACAGGTTGGAGCGCAAGACCACCACCGATCCATGTCTACAATATTGTTCTCAGGTCGCTGGCTCTGCTTCTTTCTTTCGTCTCTGCTCTCTCCCTGAGTATTCCGTCATCCAAAAGCCCGAGTTTTCACGATTACCAAACTTTAACGTAAGCAAGGTTTTCGAAAACTTTTCTCCTAGCTTAATAACAAGGTAATAAAGGCTCTAAAAACAAGCTTAAGGGAAGTTATCTTTCATAGTTCTGATGATTAATCTGCAATCAGGTACTGTTTCATTGTGAACACATCAGCCTTTGTGTACTCAGCTTATCAACTCTTCAAAAGCATCTGGGATATCGCATATCCGGGCATTTGCATCTCGGAAAAGACTTCTGATTACATAAACTTTGTATTTGACCAGGTAATGTTTGTACGGTCACGAGGCGAAATCCGTTGTTTAGTTTCCCCTTAAACTCTGATGGAGTTAATTGACTGTGTAGATTGCAGGTTATCTCCTGATTTCATCCTCTTCTGTAGCTGTGCTGACTATCCAGGATATGGATCATAGTAAACCTCTCTGGAAAGCAGCTATAGTCTCTGTTACTATATCATTTGTGGCTTTCTTTGTCATCCAGTTTTGTGCGCTTTTATCCGGCTACAAGCTCTGCAAAAGGATTGTTTGGTGATTCTCTATTTTACAGATGTACTCCTACTTCTTGCTGGCTCTTAATTAGCTCCAATACAACAGTCCTGTCCAGTACTTTTATCAGAAGAAATTAACTTTCTTCATGAGCGTCAACACTATCTTTTGGAACTCAAAAAATAGTACTCCCTCCGTCCCACAAAAATAGTCAACATTGAGTTTTGAGTTTTGAGTTTTGTACTGTTTTTAATACAAATTTGAAAACTCCATGTGGACTATTTTTTATTTTTTTGGGGACGGAGGTAGTGCAATAAAGTGCAATACAATAGCAAAGAGCGTGTACTATATTTGGTATCGGAGCATCAGAGGGTCACAGATTCACAAGTAGCTGAACCGAGAGTAAAGCGGAGGCTAGTTTACAGTGAATTGAAATATTTAGTATTATGTTAACCCCGCTTGACTGAACTAGTTTACATCAGCAGTACAACCTCGAAACAGATGAAAGTAACAATGAGAAGCTAATTACTCCAGCATTTCTTCAGGAGGAACATGAACTTAAAAAGTAAACTATTTTACAACTTTCTCTTCTTCACTAACCATAAATTTACCTTCTGTAAACTCACAGCCCTGAATGGGGATACCAAGTTGCTTCTGTAACTTCTTCACCACAAATACTTCTGGCTCCTCGCATATGGAGACAACAGTACCCTTTCGACCTAGCCGACCTGTTCGGCCAGCTCGATGTGCATAATGAACTGAGTCAGTAGGCAGTTCTAGGTTGACTACAAGATCGCACTCAGGAATATCCAAACCCCGGGCAGAAAGCTCATTTGTTATCAACACTCTGACTTCCCCATCCCTGAATTTCTTGAGGATGGTTGATCTGGCAAGCTTGCTCAAATCTCCATGGAGCTCAGCTGCTTTCATGCTCCGAGCTTCCAGTTTATGAACAGCATCTTTTAGCTGTTTAGTGTGATTCATAAAAGCTATGACAGATCTAGCCTCCAATGCATGCACACATCTCCTTAGAGCATCCACTTTGTGTTGTATCCTTGTAACATGGAAATAGTGATTCAAATTGGGAGGTAGGCTCTGATCTGCAGGCAGTGTCTGAAAGTTTGAGCTTGAACCTAAGCTGGAAGCAGTTCCTGACAAATTAGGAGGTCCAGAAGGAGATACAGATTCAAGTGGGGTAACACTTTTGGCTTGGACAAGGAATGGATCACGGGCCCAGCTCCTAGCAGCCCTTATCACTGAAAAAGGCACAGTAGCAGAGACCATGATTGTCTGACGCTCAGGATGAGTCCCACGCGATTTATCCGAGCCTCGTTGACCAGCACCAGATCTTCTTCCAACATGCTCCAGAATCCGATGCATGTCCTCCCGAAAATTGAATCCAAGGAGTTGATCAACTTCATCTAGGACCAGGTAACGACAGCTATGAGTTTGAAGCTTTCCAGCTGCACTTATCTCTGCAATCCTTCCAGGCGTTCCAACTACAATGACAGGCTTATTTTTCTTAAGGGCTTCTTCCTGTCTACTTCTGTTTGCACCCCCAACAAGCTGCTGAACCATTTTCTTGTACAAGGGTCCTAGTAATTTCTCAACCTCCCTCACTATCTGCATCCCAAGCTCCCTAGAGGGCGCAACAATTACTGCTTCTATATCAGTTTTGTTCTTCAACTCATCACTTGTCAAAAGATCATTTTTGAGAGGACCAATTTCAGCTAGAATGGGAAGAAGATAAGCTAATGTTTTTCCTGAACCAGTGTAAGATTGAATTACAACATCGTGATCCTTAAGAATAGTGGGAACTGCTGCAGCCTGAACATCAGTGGGGACCTCAAATCCTTCCTTCTCCAGTCTTTCAACTAGCAAAGGAGGGAGGCCAAGTTCAGAAAAAGATTTTGCAGCAAAAAGGGCACTCTGAAAGTCTGGATTATTCTTAGTTCCAATCGACTTTTCTTTGTAACTAATAACTTTCTTCTTCTTACTTTTTGGGAATTCCATAGTAGAAATGCCCTCCTTCATTCTATTTTTCTCATTTCCACTAGTCATTGTTCCGGTTTCACTTTGAAACCCAAGACTGGCGATGGTGAGAGGTCCAGCCTCGTGATCACGGGTAAAATTGCAGAAATTCGGAAAACTTCTATGAAACAAGGCCGTCGTTTGGAATTGAGATAACATCCTTAGTGAAACATTATCACCAACTAAAATGCGAGACCTTGCTAGTCCTATAGCAGGAATCATCTCTTGGTCACTTTTGGTCAAGTAGTATGTCCTCTGTGCATAACAAGCGCGCCAACTAAGTAGAATCTCAAGAAAAGCAAGTATATCTTTCTCTATGAAACCTACAAAGGGAGCAGTTAAAACATAAATAAACTCCACCATCATCAAATACAAAACTCAATGAAGCTACAATGCTACAAGCCGTCAGTTGGTGATTAATATGTATAACCATATAATGCAGCTGGATAGTGTTCATCAAATCAATGAAGCACCTTCCCAGTATGTTCTTAGTCTTACTCCATGTGGGTTATTCAGTACCAATTGAAAATTTTTCAGCCCTATCTCGGAGTAGAGTTGGTAAAGTTCAAAAGGCAAACCACAAAAACCCAAAATTTCATAAGCACAAAACTGTTATTTCGACAATGAAATGACTAAGGCATTTAATCAAACAGGTTCAGAGCACAACACCAACAGTGCAGCTCAGCTGGTACTAAAACTATTGTCTTCACATACGGTAATTCTTTTTAAAGCAGAGACATATGTTAGGATAAACGGTTACCTCTTAACAGAACAACCAACAAAGCTATGAAGCTTAGTTACTGCTCCTCCAAAGATCGGCGCAGGCGACTGAGACGGAATAACGTTGGATACTTTTGGAGTAGTGTTTACTAGAAGGATAAGCAGAAGCAATCGATTTTCTATTTTATACTCCCATTTATATCCCTCATTTAATTACTACTAAAGATTATATTTTCGATATTGGTCCCTTGTAAAGAAGTTATGAGCACATGCATCCTCCAAGTTTAAAGTAAGAAATGATCAATTATCACTAAGCTTGTTTGACGCCAGTAATCAGAGAAATCATTGATCTGGTTGCCATCGTGATATTATAATAAGGGATAATTAGCCTGTGTACGCATAATATAGCGTGGAGTTAGACCTTTAAAATTTTATATAGAGTTGTATTGTACTCCCTTTCTCATAATAAAAATAAGAGTGCTTGACCACTATGCATTCAGCTACTGTTTAATCTGAGTTGCAAAGGAAAACTTGTAAACCATCATCTTTGTTCTGAATTGGCATCATATTGAAGAGATTAGTTGAAGATGAGCTAAGCAATATTGCTCCGTCCTTAAAGACCCTAGAATAAGCTCTACTAATCATCGATAAGCTGTACTAATCATTGTTATCGCCAAAACAACAGTAGTTGCTCAGGCCCCATAATCACCTTCGGAGAACTTGTTCTCGGAATAATAGATGACCACCAACGGAGTTCCACCAAACTTCCTGCCATTCAAGCCATTCCGTGCTTTTGTAGCACTCTCAACATCTGCATACTCCAGAAAAGCCTTTCCAACCCCCGGTGAAACATCGCCATTGGGACCAGGGCGAGGAATGACCAAGTTCAACAGAGTACCGAATTTCCCACACTCCAATCTGATGTCTTCTACAATGTCATCATAGTCATCATCGTGAATTAATTCATCAGGACTAACCACATTTGTCAGGCACAAGACCTTAGAGGTTGCAAGAGGCTCTAACATGAGTTCCTGCAAAGCTATACGTTGCTGCTCTTGCAATGAACAGAGGCTTTCATTCTCAAGTGTAGGCAGAAACGTCATACCTTCATTCATACGTCTAACAGTAAGAGTTTTATCACCCATCCTAATCCCATTAAGACCAGCACAAGCAATACCAGAAACTGATGTATCCTGGTAGACACAGAAGGCATAGCCCTTTGATTTGCCTGTTTCTCCATCTTTAACCAGATCCATCCCCCGAAGGGGTCCAAAAGACTCTAGCAGCTCTCTAATCTGAGCTTCAGTGAAATAACATGGCAGACCATCTACCAAAATACAATCTGCATCCCCAAACACACCAGCAGAACCAGGGCTCAATTCAACACCCCCAAGATTTGGATTAGGCTGACCGGAAACCCTTACTTCTTCTAACATGAGATCCTGCAAAGCTATACGTTGCTGCTCTTGCAATGAACAGAGGCTTTCATTCTCAAGTGCGGGCAGAAACGTCGTGCCTTCATTCATACGTCTAAGAGTAAGAGATTTGTCACCCATCCTAACCCCATTAAGAGCAGCACAAGCGAAATCAGGAACTGATGTATCCTGGTAAACACAAAAGGCATAGCCCTTTGATTTGCCTGTTTCTCCATCTTTAACCAGATCCATCCCCCGAAGGGGTCCAAAACACTCTAGCAGCTCTCTAATCTGAGCTTCAGTGAAATAGCATGGCAGACCACCAACAAAGATACAATCTGCATCCCCAAACACACCAGCAGAACCAGGGGTCAGTTCAGCCCTTGCTTCTAGAAGAACCTCTTCCTCTGTTTTCCCCATCAAGAAAATGCTGCAAATACAACAACAATCAGACAGCACCGAAATCAGCATACATCAGTGGCAGTGGCACCACATTAGGGTTAGAACATACAGCAATCTTGGCCAAGAGCTATCACGAATTTGCATCAGAATGTTGCCATGGGGAAACATAGTTATCACTTAATTAACGCATTGATATGCTAAATTCAGAAACCAAAACAAAAGAGACAATCCTTTCGGGGGTGACGATTACATTATAATAAAATTAGACTGAAGGTAGTATAAAACAAGAAAAGCACGATATGGAAAGTTCAGCTACATCCAAATACAGGCGATTGCTCAAGAAATAGAACAGTAACAGTCACCAAACAATTGTGACGAAGCTATAATTTCAAGAACACCGACAAATCGAAAAAGAAAAGTTCAAACAACTTATAATTTCAATCGCACTTGTAAGGGCGGACAAAAAAAATATGAGATAAACAACAAAACTGAAATCAAATGATACCTGAGATACGGAGTGAGAAATCGTCGCCGCCACCACTGTCCTGTCTTTTATCTTCAAATTTCACTCTGATTCTTCAGTCTTCACTTCACGTCTAATTTATTTCAGGCCTTCAGGGAATGAAGGAATTGAAAAAGAAAAAAAAAAAAAAAAAGACGAACACGGGATTCACCGCCTAGAAAAAAAATTTATAAATGTATTTTGGGGCTCCAGTTTTGGCGCTATTACAAATCATACCCAAAATTTTCACAATTTGACAATTACAGTGATTAAAACAAAAAAAAACACAAAAAAAAAACGGAAGAGATAATTCACCCCCTCTATTTTGCCGAGTAAATCAACAATTCCACTGCATTTTTGTTTTTTTGTTTTTTTTTTGTCAAAGAAGATAATCATATATATAAAGAAAAAATAATCAAGTACAACCACATAGTATTGGACTACAACATTCTATGATTGAGATATTACAATTCGCTTTACGTGTTATACCTAGCCACAAAAGAAGAGATGCATAATTCCTACACTGTGTCCAATCCTAGGCTAATATAAATTAGATAAATTATAGCAATATTCTAATTACAAAGTAAGGAAATTTCACAGTTTCATAAATAAAAGAAAATAATAATATACTTTTACAAATGAAATCTAAGCATCGCTAATAGAGTCCGGTGCAATTGAGGGAAGAGTATTAATTTTACAGGAAAAGAGAAAAAATAAACATAAGCCCTAAAAGACATTAATATTTGTTTCATATTGGTTGATTGCACTAAATAATTCATACATTTACTTTGTATTAAATTTTTTTCTAATTTGTCATTGCTAAATTAAACCATCTACAATGATTTACACTAGTGCGTGTATAATAAGATTCCATGTAATCCATTTGTAATATTATTCAACTTTTCTCTATATTGGCGTATGCTCTAATAATGTAACATAATTAAATTACTATTAAATGATTATATTCTATCATTAACTGCATGATAACCCACAAAATCATGTATTTTCACTCTGTATGAATCCTTATACCATTAAAATTAAAATGTACAATATTCCATGCAATGTAAATTGTACCACAAAATGGTACTTTATCAATTATTCCTTCCATTCTTAAATATATTTAGTTATGGTTGATAAATTTTCAAAATATATGTTGTTTTATGAAATCAATGCAACTTTTATCTTATTTTTCTAATATCACCCTTGCATTGCAATGAAATGGTATTTAGAATGAGATTATATAATTGGCGATGACTTCTATGGATAATGATTAAAGGTAATTTTGTATTTTAAATACATTATTAAATATTTTATCAATATTGTTAAAATTGCTAAAAAAAATTATATATTTTGGAATGGAGGGAGTATTTATTACCATTAAAGATATTCTTAGGTACAGAGTGATGTCAAACTGAAAAAATGCAATTACTAAATATTTAATACAATATGAATAAAAAACAAATACAGTAAAGCGTCGGTAAATTTAATAATATATAAATTAATAACTTCTAGCAAACAAAAAAACCTTCTAGTAATTAATAATTTTTTCCGGTCTTCATTTGGGACCAGTACAAAAAGTTAAAAAATTGATAAAATGATAAAATAATAATGTTTTAGAAAATCTCTTATATATCTATAGGTCCAAGAATACCATAAATTAATAAATATCCTAAAAGCAAAAGAAAAAGACTATAAATATTTAGTCAAATATGCACTATTGACAGTTTTTTTAGTCCCTAGAGTTGATATGAAATTTTTTTGTTTTTAATATTCACAAGAGTCTTAATACTTGATTGATTCGGATGTAAGACAACTGTAAATTAAGTAATTTAGTGACAGTATTTTTTCTCACATAAATTCTTTAAATTAATATTAATAAATTAATAATTATTAATTTATCGATTATTTAATAATTCTATGAATTGATAAATTTTATTGGTTCCAACATTATTAATTTATAAAAGTTCTACTCTACAATTGCTCTGCCAATATCTTGACCGCCCGTATTAATACCTTCATTAATGCCTTATTTCGAAAACAAAAACCAGTTTTAACTCGAGATAGATCCGAAATGAAATCACATTTGGAAAAGAAAAATCTACAATAAAAGCTACTAATACTCGGCTGTGTGTGTCCCCATCCGAAATGAAATCACATTGAATAAGAAATATCCACAAAAATAAAAACAGATTTTTCCATAGATTTCCCGACACGTACTATTTAATTTTATAATAATTTATGAAATTTATAATGGCTCATAAAATACGAAAATTAGGAGAGAAGAGAGAAGGAGATAAAAACCCCACCAGGAGTACTTAGAACTTTCTGGAAAAGCGACCGCACCAATCAAAACTAGCTTCTCGCGCCTTCTTTTCCTTTCTCCCCTCAAATTAATCCCACCCCAAATTTAATTCATCCTGGGCCCTACCACCAAAACCTATTTTTATTTTCTCTTTCTTCTCATTTCCACTTTTACCCATTTCATCCGTTTCCTTATTTTGCCATATTTTAACTCTCCTCTGTCTTTCTCTCCTCCTTCGTCCTCTTCCTCCTTCATTTCCTAACAGAACCTTCTAGAACGAACCATTGAACGAACGAATCCGCCATAAGCGCCCATCTCTCCGTTCTATCTCGTCAATTACCAAATCTAATTGGGACAACAGTTGTCTGAGGTAAGATATACAGAAGCGAAGAAGATAGTCTCTTTTCTTTTTTCTTTTCCCTTTTTCTGTACTGGAATGAAAATAATTCCGAGTCCTAATCTTTTACGTGTATTATTAATGTGATCTTTTTCTGGTGGTTTTGTATGTTAGAAATTTCTAGTAGTTGGATCTGGTGGTCTTTGTTGCTGCGTCAATGCCGGCTGAGCAAACCGGTGAATCCACCACCGGGGTTGTTGGTGAGTCTCAGAGGTCTCTTCCGACGCCATTTTTGAACAAGACTTACCAAATAGTGGATGATCCCGCCTTCGACGATTTGATTTCGTGGAACGAAGACGGCACCGCTTTCATCGTTTGGCGTCCAGCTGAATTCGCCAGGGATTTGCTCCCCAAGTATTTCAAACACAACAATTTCTCCAGTTTCGTGCGCCAGCTTAATACTTACGTAAGTTCCGCCTTAACCGGCATCAATTGGAGAATTCCCATCTTTCAATTTGTTAATTAAGTTTTGGTGGAGCGCCGTTATTTAGTTTTAATTGTTTGTTGGAATGTTAGGGATTCAGGAAAGTAGTGCCGGATCGATGGGAATTTGCGAACGATTGTTTCCGGAAGGGAGAAAAGAGATTATTGAAGGATATTCAACGAAGGAAAATAACTCCGGCGGCCGCGGCGTCGCCGGCGGCGGCGGTAACCTCACCCGTGGCAGCTGCGAATGCACAGGGGATCACGGTGGTGGTTCCGCCGGTGATGAGATCGTTGTCGCCGGCGACTTCCGGTGACGAGCAGGTTTTGTCCTCGAATTCTTCGCCGGCAGCCACCACCACCACGACGGCTGCTAGGCCTACAACGACGCCGGAGATTCTGGAAGAGAATGAAAGATTAAGGAAAGAGAACGCGCAGCTGAGTCGGGAATTGAGCCGGTTGCGGAGTTTGTGCGGGAATATTTACACCTTGATGTCGACCTACTCCGGCAATCAGGCGGAAAACGGTGGAGGAGAAGTTCACGAGAATGAGAAAAGAGCCTTGGACTTGATGCCGGAGATCCAGGCGGCGGTGGAAGTCGACTGCGGCATCGCCTGCGTAGGAAGCGGTGGGGTAAGGAAGGCGGAGGATGCGGAGGAAGAAGAATTGGACTTGAGCCCGAGGCTGTTTGGTGTCTCACTCGGGGTCAAGCGCGTGAGGAGGAGCGACGACGAAGTAGATAGTGAGAAGCAAGGGAGTGATCAGATGCGGACGCATGTAACCGAGGAAAAATGTGAGCCGTCAGATGGAGCTGTAGATCACCGCCGTGATGATGTTGGATGGCTAGATATTTCCATCAGCAGAAAATCTGAGGGCGAGATTTGACCCACCCCTTGGAACGCCCGGGGAGAATGTCGTGGGGTCCACCAGTGAAGGCAGAGAAAGGGAGAAAAAGAGGGAAAAAAAAAAAGGGATGAGAAAGTTCAAGGAGGGATTGAGAAAGGTGATGCCGTGGATAATCATCACGTGTTACGTGTACGTAATTTTCAAATCTTCTGGTCCTTTCTGGAATGATGATGGGATCACGTGGGCCCAGTTGGGCTCGTGGATTGCTTGCTTACGAAATTGAAGTCAGCTATGTCAGGGAATTGTTAGCAGTCGGCCCGGTGAAACATTTGGACAATGCGGAGGTCGGAATTTGGGCTACTGTAACTGACTGGCCCGGTGGAAATGTTGCCAATGTCGGACTGATGACCTTTGAAGGGATTGCCGGTGGAGAGTTACGAGAATATATAATAGTAGCTCATGTCTAGACTGTAGAGATTGTGACTTTCTTCTTCTTCTTTTTTTTCTTTTTTTTTTTTTACCAAAGTGATTATTATTATTATTTTTTTTATAGAAAAACAGATATTTTGTTTTGGGGCATCATCTCTTTTCTGTTTTCTTTTATTTTATGAATTAAATTTGTTTTGACCGTAAAATCTTTGTGTCCTTAATTTAAGGGGGGAAAAGAACAATACTACACGAGAATAACATACATAAGGATACTTTTTTTTTTTTTTAATAACAGATAAGGATACTTTTTTTTTTTTGAACATCAGATAAGGATACTTGATCGGAGGAATGAACCAAAGACTTAAGTAGTATCTTACCTCTAAAGAAAATGTACAAGGAGTTCTCTTATATATGTGGTTCTAGGATTATAGGAATTGGTGCAGGGGCACCTTTGGCATACACGAAGCAGAAATTTCGCAAGGTCAAGTTATAAACCACCCACCTAACTTACGGTATCTAGAAAACAAGAACTTTTCGATACAAAATCTAAATGCCTAAGAATGTAGTTACTTGATAAGCTAAATGTAGACCCATTATCTTTTTACAAGTTCTCAAGACAGAGTTTACCATCATATACGAGTACATACGCAACGGTTTAGGTGATTAATTGGAAAATATGCACATAGATCTAATTGGAAATTCAACATGCATGGTACAACTCAGGGGAAAAAACACGTAACGTTTCCAAATGGCAGAAAAAGTGTTGCTAGACTGAAATAAATACTTATATAAAATTATAAATATACTTAAAATAAACTATTTTTGTCCCAAATACTTGTAAAGTTTAAATATTTATTTTTATTACAATTGTACTAAAAGTAAAAAATCAAAAGAATCTCTACAAAGTGTAGAGACCATTAGATATAGCGTGAAAAACTAGTACTTGCATATTGTTTTTTCCCTTTAAGGAAGAAAAGATAATCAAAAGGGTATTACTTTTCTCAATTCATATATTACTCATTTACAGTTCGTTTTGGATAATTTTGCTCATGAACTCTTTTTTCTTCTCCAACATACACTAATTACATTAAATAAAAATAAAGTTTACTAAATTAATTGAACAATAATACAAAATATAAAACTAAAGTAATTATACAAAAACATAATGATAACAAAAAAATAATATTAAAATAACACAAAAAATTGGGGGGAAAAAAAAAGTAAGGGTGGCCGGCCCTTTTGAAGGTTGACGGGTTTACTAACCGGTCAACCGGAAAGAAGTGGCCGACCAATCAAGTGGCCACTTCTTCCCGGTTGGCCCGTGAATAAACCGGCCAACCTTTTAACAACAAATTAGTATTTTTGATTTTTTTATTTCGGTTGGTTAACTTTGAATTTGTTAATTTGAAGTTTCTTTTTAGACACCTATCTTTTTTACTATTAAAATTTACCATTAAGGAGTAATATTCTAGTTACTTTAGTTTTACATTTAAATTTACAATTTTACATTAAAAAATTTTCATTAAATGATGGAGTGATGTGGTTGCGACATGTGGACTTGACTATATAATTTTTCACCACGTGAATTGACCTATCAAATATCGTGCCATGTGTCCAATTAAAAACCCCCCTTTAATATATATAAAGATATAGATTAGTGTTGTTATTTTGTTTTTCTCCACAAAATATTCATTTGTATTTTTATGTGTGTGTTGTTGTGAAATTAATATTTGCAATATTTTCGATTTGTATTTGTAATGTCTTTTTAATGATTTTAAATGTAATATTAGTAATGGTGTTTTATTATCATCATCGAGCCAAATATTTTTGCTATTTTACTATTTGTAATTTTATTTAATTGACGTAATATATGGTGAAAAAATTACTACAAATTAATTATGTAAAAATTATGCAATTTAAATTTAAAAATTAATATTACTAATTATTATTTAAATTAATGGTGTGTAATTATAAAATTTCTTAAATGTAATTTATTTTGTAATAGAATATAATAAAATACAAATAACAAAAGTTAATTTTACAAAAAAATAATAAATAATCGAATATACTAAGAATATTTCTTTTAGAGAGATTTTATAGAGAGAATGAGTTGAAAATGATGATAGTATTTAAACAGTAAAAGTAATCGAATTTCACTGTTTCAACTCTAAATATACAATTTAGAGGAGGTTTGGGTTGAAGATGCCCTAATATTTGTTTCTGCAGGCTATACTCGAAGACAGGCATGTAAGCGAAGTTGCCGCAAGCTAAGCGCGCTAAAGGTAGCAATTTTTAGCCCCTTCTTTCCCCCTCATTCTCTCGGTTTTTTTTTTTTTTTTTTCATTTGTTGAATGTAGCAATTATATTAGTTGTTTCCATGAATTTGGTGATTTGATGTTTACTTGAAGTGGTTGATTTTTATGTTACTCGGACTCAGGTATGAGTGTGGGACATGACACGGGATCTGAGTGTCAAATTTTTAAATTTTATAAAATTAAGATACGCGTGTAAAGATTTAGACACGGATACGGGTACAGATACAGTGATCATTCTTATATTTTATTCTTCCAAAAATTAAAAAAAGGTTAATTTTTTTATATACTTTATTCAAGTAAAGATGATTATAGTACATAATTATAACTATTTTGGTGCTGGATAAAAAGTTAGAAGGTTCTAACAACTACTTATTATAAAAGAAATGAAGGAGTCAATTTTTTTTAATTAATTGAAAAGTTGTCTTAATAATAATAATAAAAAAAGTAAAAACGAAGGGGACGCTGGGCCTTTTTTGGATTTATAAGCCGATGGGCTTTTCTCATATACTTATTCAGAGAATGACTTGAAAAACGTGTGTATTATGAAGCCCAGTCCAGTGAATTCTTTTTGCCTTCTTCTTCAACCTTCAGAGAAGCGCCGCTGAAATTTTTCAGCTGGCCGGCGAAATTTTTGGGACAGAGCTACGTCGTTTTCTGCTTGTCCCCCGTGTAGTGAATTGAAATCATGATGAATATCGATACGGTTGGAACTTCAAACAAAATCAAATTTGATGAGAGTGATGATGATGTAAGTACGTTCTTTCTGCGACTTCTATATGTTTAGGATAAGTGCATATTTACTAACCTATCTGAATGATTTTCAGGAGGAAGAAATAGAAAAGGAATTGGCGGAGGTGACTTTTGAGGACCTGCTGAGAGCCAAGTCTGATGGATCCGAAATTGTTTATAGGAAACCCAAAGCGGAGAAGAAATCTGGCGGCAGGGAAAACAAGAATAGGTACTTGTTGGTAAAATTGGTAATCTTTATTCTCCCACTCATTTTACAGTTAATAATTCTCACTTTGTATTGTGTTCTGGCTTAATCAGGCCCATGGAGATGAGTAGCAAGAAACCAGTCAGTAGATTTCGTGAAGTCATTCAAGTCCCTAAGAAGGTGTGTAGCCATGCAGAATTAATTAGATTCTTGTTTAGGTTAATGTGCTTTGCTATTATGTGCTTTTCTATAATTTCTGGAAGAAACTTGTCTTTCTTATTTTCAGTCATTTGTAGATGGAAAAAGAGACTTCTTGTTGCTGCTGCTGCTGCTGTTGTTCTTGTTGTTGTTGTTGTTTGTTGTTGCTTGTATATGAGTAATGTGTGCATTTGGACCAAGTGTAGTTGTAACAGCAATTTCCGTTCTTGTCCGGATGAGGTTGAGTCGGAGAATAATAGGTTAAACTTCTTATATGTTTTTGTTTTTATCCAGGTGGGGCGTGATCCTCGCTTTGAGTCATTATGTGGCAACCTTGATGTTGACGGGTAAGCATCAGTCTTTGGGTTTGCTTTTGGTGTTTAATCTACTCCTTGCATTGCCTTGTTTGAGCCTAAGGTTAATTTTCAAAATATATTGCTCATGCTTGTTCTGAGTCTGTTTAATTGAATTAAATATTGTTTGAGTATGTCCTGTAAGTTTTTCTGTGTTCCCCTGGGAGGGGGGTTGTTGGGGGGAAGGGGGGGGGGTGTTTGGGGGGGAGTGGGAATGGAGTTTTTAGCATTTGGTTTTGCTATCTAGTTCAACTACCTGGCTGAGAATCTGAAGCTAGAGTTAGGACTGAGAAAAGTGCTGAATTGTTTGGCATTGCTGGCTATTTGATTGCGACCAAAAAGGAGTGTGAAGCAAGATCAAGGGTATAAAAGTATCAGGGTCAGGTGAAGGATGTATTGGCACTTTAGCTCCAAGGGAACGCTTTCGTGCAGAATAGGAACTGCAAATCTTAGCATTTATTTAATCTCTACAAGGCCTCACTTCCAGGGAGTGGAGACTTTAGTCTTCTTCCTTCTGGCTGCTAGAAGTTAACTATGGAAAGCCTTAACAGCATAAGTAACATTTTAGATGCTTCTAGTGTCATCAATGGTTGTCCAGTTGAACCTCATATATTGACAGCAGCAGCAGAAGTGAGTAGCATGCGGGAATGCCTGAAACAATACTGCACTCTTATATGGAATTTGTATCCAATCCGTTATACTAAGTTTGCTCCCCCCACAAATCTAGTAGACGAAATGGCAAAGCGGCCTATAACATCTGGAAGTGGATAAGATCTCCACGGAGTAGTCTAAAGGATAAGTTTTACTGAAGGTGGGTAGTGGACATACTTATGTCATACAAATCAGGTAGTAAGGGGTTTCACCTTTTGGCTTGTTTTAGCTGTACGTCTATCACATGATTGCTTGCATCATCCAGTTGAGTTGAGATTATGCGTAAAAGGACAGTTCTGGTTGATTCATTATTGCTTGCTTGAATATTTGATTGTGTTTTTTATTGATTGCTTTCTATATTGATTTTAACAGATAACATATTCTGTAGGTTCAAGAAAAGATATGATTTTCTATACAAAAATGAGCTTCCTGCTGAAAAAGAGGTATCCTTCTGGTGTTGGAAATCTGTTGAAATTTTATTGGGTCTTTTTTGTAATTGAATTATTACAACCTAGCCCCCTAGGAAGGGAAAAATATAAACTCAATGGTTTTTGGAAATTTCAGGAGCTAAAGAAGCAGCTGAAGAAAACAAATGACCCTGAGGTTATGGATGAGCTAAGATCACGTATAGCGTGGATTGTAAGTCCTTGATATAGTCAAATGAAATCTTGTGATTAATGGCAAATATTCAACTATGTTTATTCCTATCCCTGATCTCTCTATCGGCATCTTTATCAAACATCTGTGCAAAAATGTGTATTGAAGCTGTATTTTGTGTATGTAATAGGATAAACAATTGAAGTCTGCAGCACCGAAGCTTACGGAGAAAGAAATTTTGGCTGAGCACAAGAAGAAAGAGAAAGAAGCTGTGAAACAAGGAAAACGGCCTTATTTTCTGAAGAAATGTAATCTCTCTTTCTCTCTGTGTGTGTGTGTCCGTGCATGCGTTTGGTTCAAACCAACTAAATTTGACTTCTCCATGGTAGGAATTGGCTTTTCCATCCCATGGTGTTCTTCAGGGGGGTGTATGATACTAATCAGATATATTTATATTTGTTTAATGGCACTATTCGTTGGAAAATGTTGTCACTAGGTTAGAATTGTAATTAAACTTCCACCTCAAGGAAATCGCCTTTGTCCTTTTGAAAAAAAAAAGAAAAAACCATCCCCATTCCTCTGTGCTCATTGCTAACCCTGTATGTGTACATTGTTGTCAAAATCAATGTTCATTTTCTTGTTTATTCACCATTAATGAGTACATTATTTGACTGTTTGTTTGAATTTTTGTTTTAGCTGAAATCCGGAAGCAACAACTTATTGAAAAATACAAGGGACTGAAGGTAAGCATCATATCTTCCGTTCTTATTTCTACAAAATTAATGAAGGGTTTGGAATTACAAAGACTTAATCAAGGTCAATTCTGAGTTTCAGGCAACTGGGAAGCTGGAGTCATACATTGAGAAAAAGAGAAAGAAGAACGCCTCTAAAGACCATAGATTTATGCCGTATCGCCGTCCTAATGAAGTATCGCCGTCCTAATGAAGCAGGAGACCAGTGATACTCATGCTCTTGGACCTCAATTTGCCTTGTCCTCTGCTTGTAGCAGTAACGTGCCTTCTGATTTCACTGATATGTATGTTAAGTGTATCGATATGTAGATGATTAGCATTTTCGTCCTACCTGGTGCACCATCGGTTCAGAGTTTAGACATTAGAAAGCAATAGGATTCATACAATCCAGAGTTGTAACGATGAAACAAAGAAAAAGATGCCGGGGAGAAAAAGTTTACGTCATTTTCTATCAAATTTACTAATGTTATACTTGATTATATATTTTTATGAAAAAATATGCATATAAAAAAACCACAAGTGTTAAAATCATAATTTTAAATAACAATTGTTAAAATTTTGAGTAAACAAAAATGTAATGACATGATAATGAAAGTGATTTTTTATTTTTTTTTGAGATCGTGCCTGATAAAAAAAAATAATTAAAAAAAAAACAGAAATCATAGTACTCTACCAATTTGTAAAAAAAAAAAAAAAAAAAACTGAAAGAATTCTCGTGATTTCTTGATGTGTAATTTCATTATGCACATATTAACAAAGAAAAGAAATAATTTATACAACGTTCCACAAAAATAATTAACGTAAAATTTTCGAATCCAATTCGGCAGCATTCCAAATCCGATTCTGAATCCGTTTCCAACTCACGAAACAAACGCCTCCTTAATGTATATGTAAAAGATTGCTGGATTCCACTAAATTCACGCGATTTCCACGCGGAATTGCAATTTCCCAATAGGAAAAGGATTATCCGATTAGGAAACGCGGCACCTCTATATAAAGACATACTTGATTCCACATTGTTTCGATCAATTCACTTTCCCAATTCCAAGTTCTCTCTCAAGAGTATGGCCGGTTCTGTGTATTACAGATTTAAGAGCTCGACCGTCGTCGAAACCATCCTGATCGATGGCCCCTTCATCCCTGTCCGATATCTAAAAGAAAAATTAATCGAAAGAAAAAAAGTTGGAAAGGGTAACGATATCGTACTAATCAACCCTGAAACCGATGAAGAGTATATTAACGATGAAACTCTGATTCACCAATCTTCTACTGTTTTAATCCGTCGTGTTCCTCGTCGGTATCTGCTCCCAATCGTCCTTGCGCCGGTGGAGGAGGAGGATCAAAAGGAGGAGAAGGGCTCGCCGTCGTCTGTCCAAACCCTAGAAAATTCATCCTCAATCGTTTACCCCGAGGATTCTGAATGGGATGATTTTGTTGCTAAGGAATTAAATTCCAGTTCCGATAACTCGGAATCCCAATCGAAATCGGTGGGAAGTGGGGTTGTGAACAATCCCGATGAAGATTCGAAGGTGGCGGCGGTGGTGCAGGGTTTCAATCGGAGGGCGGCGCCGCCTCCTCCGGGTTATGTTTGTCATCGGTGTAACATCCCCGGCCACTTGATTCAGCATTGCTCGACGAACGGTGACCCGAATTTCGACATGAAAAGGCTAAAACGTCCAATTGGGATTCCGATATCAATGTTGGTGCCTTCCCTGGATGGATCCTACTCGTTGCCCACCGGAGTTACTGCAGACATGAAGCCCAATGAAGCTGTTTTTGAGAAGGAGATTGAAGGTGTTCCAGTCAGAAACTCTGTTGTGGACTTACCACCAGAGCTTCATTGTCCTCTGTGCAAAAATCCCATGAAAGATGCAGTCTTTACGAGCAAGTGCTGCTTCAGGAGCTTCTGTGACAGATGCATCAGGGATTATATTATTGCAAAATCCATGTGTGATTGTGGGGCAAAAGGCGTACTTGCAGATGATTTGTTACCAAATCCCACCTTGAGAGACACTATAAATCGAATGCTTTGGTCTGATCATAGCAGCAACAGCAGCGGAAGGAGCAGCAGCAGCAGCAACAAAAGTGGTGTTGAGAACAACACTTCTCAGATTCAACCTTCGCGTTCCAGCGGTGGTGGTTCATCTTCAAGTTCAAGAAAGGAAGAGACTTGCAGGGTGCCTGAAACTGTACAGAAAAAGTTAGGACCAACTACTGAAAAAGTTGCTAATGTTTCTGATACAATCAATGTAACTGTAAGTGTCAATGATAGTTTGACTAATGAAAAAGAAATTGAGCATAATGTGCCAGTTTCTAGTGAGTTATTAGAATGCAAGAAATCAAAGAAAAACAATGATGTAAAGAAGCAGAGGAGATCTGCTGAAAACGTTTCTGCTTGCAATTCCAATGAAAACAGTTCTAATGGCTATGGTCCTGGACCATATGCCTACAATCAATTTTGGAATCCGTACATGTCTCCTTACGTTAATAATCACTATCATCCCTACATGGGCTATGGAGTTGCTCCAATGAACACTCTATTTGATACGCAAAATTACATGATGCCGCCTTCTAGGCCTCAGTCTCACAGAGGAGCAGTTAACATGAAGAGGAAGAGAGAAGATGAGAGATGCAGAGGATATTGAGCGGAAGATGAAAGATGCAGAGGATATTGAGAGCCTCCTAAGCCTGCAATTATGTTTTTCTACTTTTCTTGCCTCTGTTTAATTTTACGGATTAGAGATGGGCATATTGGATGCCTCTTATTGTATACGAAACTACTGTTTCTTGCTGATGTAATCTTTCCAACTGATTATTAATGAAATTGAAAATTTTCTCGATCAACTCTGTTTTGCATAGTATTCTTTGATTCTCTATAATTCCTTTACTCTCCCCTCCCAATATAATTGCGTAAAAATAACTATTGAAAGTTTCATTTTGTTTCTTCCAAAGAGGGATAAATATGCTCCCCCTTTTACACAAGTAATCTGGTTCAATGAGAATGCTAAGGCCATAACCTTAAGGAAATATGCCCACACATTTAACTAATCAAAGTAATTGATTCAAACGTGGTTGATCGTAATGTAAAACTAACTGATACAACGATAACTACATGTGATGAATGAAAGAGCTCTGAATCCAGTCGTACTAAGAGAATATCGGGAAGAAAACAAAATACACATGACGGGAAACCATTAGGTTTAAATTTACACTTGCTTTCGTTTCCCATTACGATCACCACTACGCCTAAAGCCTAGAAATACAACTTACTTTTAAAGCCAGAGTACGGATGCTTTTCTTTTTCTTCAAACAGGAAATATATTTTACATTATCTGGAAACAAATTCGGACAACAATAAATTTGGCGTGATCAACGATGGATTGCAAGGGTAGAGACTAGGGAACAGCCGAATTAAATAGAGCAGTGGAATTGATTTTCTGGTAGGAAAGATCCATCAATTGCGCAAATTTGTTCCTTCTTACCGCTCGGGTATTTCCAATACAGGAACCAGTTTTGGCAAGCCTCCTTTGCTGGTCTCATCCAAGCCAACTTCTCTCAATTGTTGATATGATCATTCGCCCACGGCTATCACTTCCACCACAGCAATTTGATGCCGTGACATATTAACTAGATCACAAAATCAAGATCTTCAAACCCCGCAATCTACAACAAGCCAGCCATGCATGCATAATGCCTCATTTCCAGGTAGCTTCTTGCAGTTTCTTTGTGAAAGACCTGAAGCTACTGCTGCCCTTGTCCCCCCAACGAGCAGATGCACTGCGCATTATGAACTCTGTCATCAGAGTTGGTCTCGTGTTCGACTCCGATCCCTCCTCATCATAGCCTGCACAATTAACAAACGCATTCTGGTAAATCCCATTGAAAATAGTCTGAACAGGATAATTACTAGTGGAGACACACAAGGATACCTGAAGAGGCAGGAAGCCTATAGCGTTCTTTCAAAAACTTAGAGGCTTCTCTATCTTTTTTGTGACACAGGACCCGTATCAAAGTATCAGCATCTCCCAAGCACCTGTTACCATATTTACGCTCATCCATTCCGACTGAAATGTGTTCGCTGGAACTCATTAACAATTGAATGACTGATTCAGCCTGTTAATAGGACGAGTATGGAAGGACGTCACAAAATGAACAAGCTGTAGAGTCAAATCACTTGGAAAATTTCTGGGTGACTGAACCTGAAGAGCAAATAGGCCAAGTATTTGGTGGGCAAACTTTGCTTCCTCCTCCACTAGCGATCGAGGAAGGCCTTCTCCATCAGCAATAAACAAGTCCTGGATAATAAAGCAGCACATATATGAAATTTGGAGATCTGGTTAAGCATAACATTCACTAATCACTATCGCAGTATCAAATTATTATGCAAGTAATCATTTTCCAGCATTTTATGAAACCAGATACCAATACAGGAACAAGAAGAATTTTCCAACCGAATCAATAAGAATCAGCTAAGCTCCATGATATCTTCACCAAACATATTCTACAGTAGCCAAAATTGCTTGCTTTGAAGGAGGCACAAAATGAAAATGCTAGCATTCAGAAGTATGTTACGTCTTCAGCATAAAAATCTACATTTGGATCCTATAATATACTGTAACTTTGAGTGCCAGAAACTCTTATGTCCATTAGTTGGTTTTTCCTGTCTCCGATTAAATTAAAGTAATAATTTGAACAATAAAAGTGAAATGTCTTATTAGCATTAACATACCTTCAAATACACATCTCTAAACACTAAAACGGAAGGAAGATCTGGAAGCTAGGTAAAGAAGTTTATGCGAAGTTGGAAATTACGAATCAGATAATTATGAGAACCACGCTTACTTTTAACATGTTAAGGTCTTCTTCTAACATTGGAACATCTGAATCAGAGAATGCACACGAGGGACCTCCATCCAGTAACACCCAAACATAACCTTCCTGTAAGAGAAAGTAATAGATCTTGACTGATAGGCAAAGGAAGAATGATAAGCAGATTAATAGAAGCGAGATTTACCAAGGTTGACTTAAAAATGCTGGAGACAACCCGATCTCGAAGTGCATTGTCAATCAAACCGCAAACATGATTTAGAGCCTGCATGGTTGCCACAATTTAAATTCCACATTCAAACATTTCAAGTTCTCATCAAATGAGAGGCGAAAAACGAATGATGCATGATACCAGTATTTAGTGGAAAGGGTAGAAGAGGTATGATAGAGTTACACTAACTTACCGTGTCTAGATGTTGAATTATACTGTCTAAACGGGAATGCTCAACACCACCGTGATATAAACGGTATAGGAATGATTTTCTCAGATCCCAGAAGACAACTCTAGCTCCTAGAATTGAAGCAACAGGAATTTTGATAAGTGATCTAGAAAGCGTCTGGGTTAACCTTTCAAGAGAACAATAATAACTCAACCATTCAAACAGACTGAGCAATAAAGTTGTGCTAACAGGCAAATGTACCTAAATAGATACATACACATATATATATATATATATATATCAATAATCCTCTGGGGTTGGAGGGGATGGGTATGATTTGTAAGAAACGTGCATGTAATAAGAGAAGCTCACTAACCAATAAATTCACAAATCTGTCTGATAGAGTGAGCAGTGGTATCCCTTATGCAATCAAAGGTAGCAGCAAAAAGCTCATCCACTGATTCGCCACACGCATCCAAAATTCTGCCAGATGCCCCAGGTGATCCCTGTCTAGCTGGATGAAATAAAGAAGACAATAGCATTACCAGCACATCTAAAAGAGGCATGCTTAACTTCAAGGGCACACATAATAAAATTCTACAGTTTTTAAATTATTTTTTTTTTATGCAATGTATCTTGAAAAGGCATTTCAGTGAATCTCCTAAATGAGCACTCGAGCAAAAACTTTCAAAGTAGAGAAACCATTGATGGGCCATAATTTTTACCACTAAAATGAGAAATGCACCCCCCTTCTCCCCTGTCCTCTTCTGTCTCACCCCAGCAAGTAGCAGCTTTCAGACTGTCATAAACAATAAAATCATAGTGAACCATAGCAGCTGCTCCACACATAAACATATGAAGAAACTGACGAACAGAGTTATTTAACTTGGCCAGCCAGTTTTTCGAAATACTTTACTCCATTGGAAAAGAAGAGCAGAAATAATAAAAAGGATAGAGAGTCTCTATACGTGCAGTATATGGGAGAGGATTCATAACACAGCAAGCAAACTGCATAATCAGTAAGAGATGATCTTTTGAGAGACTGGATACTTACAAGAATCTGTATTCTCAAATATTCCTGCAGAAGCCCAAGACTTCCTAATGCCATCTTCCAGTGCAGAAATTTGTTTCTGAAGATACTGCAGTGAAGAGGATGAAACGACACTTAAGAGACAGGAAACAAGAGATTTCTGATATTCCAAACAAATATATTCGAATCATGCACACAGTAGATAAAAGAAATCCATCATATTACTCTTAGGAACAACTGCAACCTGAAACCAAGATCAAATATCCTCTGATTATCAATTTCAAGACTTAAAAGACTGCGACAACTGCACCTCTCTAAATTTCAAAATTTTGAAATAAAACCTCAACCGAATGATGACCAACTTACAACATAAAATTCCACACAATGTTAAACATTTCAATTCACACCAATTTTTTTAAAAAATCAATCCTCTCCAAGCTAGTTTCCTAGGGAATGCCATGCAAAAGGCCTTGTCAAAAACTCAAATCACTAGGAAGCACCTGAATGTTGACCAATGGAAAGAAGGAGAACAGAACTTGGAATAATAAGAAGGAAAAGTACTTACTTGAAGAGTGTTCAATCTGACACAAAGTTTGGATGTTGTTAAATCATTCAGCTTACTGTTAACTTCCTCATCCAGCACAGCAGATTCTACTACCTTCTTCTTGGCAATTGGAAATGTTGTCTCCTTGTAGTGAGTCAAAGGTGGAACCGGTGGATAAAGGTTGTTCTTGTCAACTGCATTCCAGGGCAAAATTTCATGAACATCTCATCCATGGAGTTCAAAGTTCATAGAAAATAAACTCCCCAAACATCTGTCGCATCTCATTACATATCCTCAATACAAACATTTTCAAGGTCCAAAAGCATGGCAAAGCACAGATGAGCGGATACCATCTCCGCCATGTCACCATGCATTATTTGTTTTGGCTTAATTTTCAATAGAATCTTCCAAAAGTGATGTATTTCCCAAAAATAGGAGAGACCAAAGATTAGAGGTAAAGCCATTGGGACCGCAAGTGCGGAAATTTTAAATTTTGGGGTCTAAGATTACAATGGTGACCTCAATGACTATGGGGAGCAAAATACAATGGTAGAATTTCAGCATCTAGATGAGATTACACAACTGGTAAGCATCATCTTTAAAAGCAACATGCATCCACCTTTTCGTTATGGCCAAGAGAGTAGAGAAAAAGGGAAGAAAGATACTAGAGGAGCGTAGTATATTCTGACTACTTAATACCCTACCCAAATCTATGTTTTGGAGCTAAAACATAGCGATCAATGTGCCTCATTAAACTCAAGGTGACACAAAAGAGCCAAGAGATATTCTAAAACTTGAGAAAAAAGCATATAGAAGGAAACTATCTATATTCGTTCGACAGTAGTAAGTTGCAAATTACCTAACTGACTCGTAACTTTCTGCAGATAAGCATCCAATGTATGGAAAACTATAGAAAGTAGAGCCTGGAGGTGTGTCACATCTAATGGTAGTTTCAGCTCAAACAGTTGATCCACAGTCTGCAAAATAAAGTAAAATTCAGTAGTGAAGGAAACTTAACCAAATCTTATACAGCAAAAGCAAAAACAAAAACAAAAGAGAGAGAGAGAGAGAGAGAGAGAGAGACAGAGAGACAGACAGAGAGAGCAATAAAGTGAAGGTAAGAGCTAAAATTACTTGCTTCACTACCATGTAATCAGTATAATTAGGGGAAATTTGTATACCTCACAGTAACATTAAGAACAAACAAAACAAATAGGCAACTGGAATTGTGTAGCAAAATATAGCAGGAAATGTTGAATTATACAGATTTCAGTTTTTCAGGCCACTTGATAATATACCCTAGATACACCATCAGAACAAAATAATCCAAACACCGAAAGTATCCATAAGTAGTAACACCAGCAAATTCACATTAATTACAAATTCTTCAACCTTAAAGGTGTAAGAAGAAGTTTTCTCAATTGATTTCTAGGAAGGACAGTAACCATAAAAAGGTGACATGCTATGAGATGATAATTTCTTAAATAAGCAAACAAAAGAGACAAATGCAATATACACTTCTTAAGTGCTGGAGACACATTCAGCTTCTTGAACTACCCTCGCAGGTATTTTTAACAGATTACTGTTACATAACGAAACATGATCTAACAGGAAATTAAGTTAATATACAATAAGATGCTTCATCCAACTATTTACTTAGAAAAGGTCAGACACAGTCGAAAGCTGAAATGAATTTGCTAGTACACTAACTCGGAGAACCTAGTCCTTCAATAAAATATACATCATACATATCACATATTGGTAAGCAATGGCATACCTCCTCCATGATCCTAAATACTTCAACAGCTGAAGCTGCATGTTTCTGCTGATGTGACAAAGGTTCCCAATTCTGTAGGCAAACAAAAATTTGAAATATGCTCAGAAATTAGTTACACCTTTATTGCAAAAGTAGACTGTAATTCTTCATTGCTTCATGCTTCTAGATAGATGGAAAAACTGTGGTTCAAGCAATCCAGTACTCATAATGTTATTAACAAGGAAAGCCCAGAGTCAACGGTGTCCAAGCAGTAAACGACAATAATACTCTTCCAAGTGCGGAGAAAACATCTGGGTTCATCACAGTAGCTCGTTTGTTAACAAAACGAGACCTTTATATAGACGATGTTATCCCTATGGAAACCATACAGTAAAACAACCCAGATAATACTATACATGTTGCAGCTTCTGAAAAGAGGATGGCTTGAGTAAGGAATGTGGTTCGCATGTATTATGTGGAGTAGCTTAAATAACATTTTTCAACCAGTTGTAGAAGAAGCTAAAGCAGTTCTGCAAAACCCAAACCTCGAGATCAAAGGCACGTCCAGTCCATTCCATGATTCGGCTATGCTGAGCAATTATCCAATCAAGAACTAATGGCCTGGAAACCTCTCCGACCTATATATAATGGAAGAGCAGACGGTGAATAAATAACACTTTCCTAACCGAAATAATATGAAAGCGTAGAAAGAGCGAAAGATATGAAACAGATACTGACTTACTATTCACAGTAGTTTAAGACAACATCCTCATCGAACTTTTGTGGTTCATCTTATTTTTTGTAATTGTTTGGCATACATGGTGACTCTGATCAAATCTTTATTTATTATCTTTAATTCACAAATAAAATCAATTGATATCAAGAAACAAAAAAGTGTTCACATCCATTATTCAAAATTTCGTGCTGCTATCTATATTCCAATAAATTCATAAGAAACTCTCGGATGACTGGTTAAAAGATATGGGACTGTCAAGTGCATCAGCATTGAAGTTGTTTTAGAGCAATAGCTAAATCAAGATACAGATCCTAAGGTCATAGGTATTATACATAAACTGTGGACTGTTCTCCACAAAAGTTTGCTTAAAACTAAGCTGTTACATGCAGGGACCGAAACAAAACATGCAATCTAACTCCAAGAGTAGAACATAAAAATAGTCAACCTTGTAATGAACAAACTGCTCACTGAATGGTAAAGTTGAGCCATTTTTTTGGCAAGCAGAATACAGCTCAGTGAGGCAATTCTCCAATGAATTTGCTGCAGGAAGCACTTCTTTCACATCCTCAGAAAGACATGATATGCCCTGGAGATATGGTATCTAGAAGATAAAAAAGATAGGAAAGGAATCAGAAGATAATCACAGCCAACAGGGGTGAAGAGAGAAGATACAAAACGTAGACAGAAACAAACCAGTCTCTCTCCATAAAATCGGTGTAATTTTACGGCTGCCACCATCCCCATTTCAGGATACCAATGGTGTAAAACAGGATAATAGATGCTGATCTCCCTCTCGGCAATAACTCTAAGTTCACTTGCAAGTGCAGCTAAGATATGAGACCGACTTACTTCACATCCAGAACGCAGTTTGCCAGTCACCTGCCATCATTCCAGTATTAAGAGTATTAACACCACTTGTCACATACTATTAGGAAACCACTATTAACTGTCACCTATAAGATAAATGCTCAGATATGGAACAATTCATATGATTTACCCTTTTGCATGCAGCTTGCAGTGAACGGTCAGCATATTTTCTGACCTTCTTAGAAGTGATCTTCAGTGCCTCCTCAGCTTCAGTCATCTGCAAGCAGTAAACATGAAGATAACATTAAGTATATTTTACTGTCTGAGGATAACTGGAACCAGACTTTTTCTTGAAGAATGGGCAAAGGTAGGAAAACCAACATAATAGGAACACAATCAAAAGCTTTTAATAGCAACAGAAAACACATAGTGCATAAAGCATGATCCACTTTGATCTCCAAAGATTTACAACAAGTTGAATACTGAAACAAAATTCACAATCAACTGCACAGTGCAGTATATTTGTAGGATAGAAGCGACAGAATAAATATGGACAGTCCCAGAGAGAGAGAGAGAGAGAGAGAGAGAGAGAGAGAGAGAGAGAGAGAGAGAGAGAGAGAGAGAGGTTAATGATAAATTCAACAATCCAACTGGAAGTTTAAAAACCTCCTCAAAGTTGATTTAACACTTGAAAAGAGGCAACTACCTTGAAATTGTTGCACCCATTCATTTTCCAAGTTGTAACAGCCACTGTTACCACCCCTTTAAAGAGAGAAGATTTCTGAGGCATCAACAAAGAGATTTTTTAGTTCAAAAACCTTATTCATGGACAAAGAGCCAGAATAACTCTACTCAACATTAGACAATCTCACGGTCAAACCTTCCACAATACCTGTGAAAAATGCAGATGATAATCCTGCAGTTTAATGTCACACCACGAGCTAATTGATGATATAATTGACTGGATCAAAGTTACTTTATCTTCACAGCTATCTGATGTTGAACACACTAAACTACTTAAATATTCATCTTCCCTTCGGTCAGTAGCTGCAGATAACCTGAATTTCTCCATTACACGTATAGCGTAGTCTAAAAGCATACCCTCCTCTGTCCGGACAAACTTCAAATTCAAAGAAATTTGTCAGCAGCCCGTGAAAGGCTTTAAACACAGGCCCCAATCCCCATAACTAGGCCTATAACATTATACTAGAGAAGAACTTAAAAGAAATGCGAATAATGTCTGCAGACATAAATACATATATTACCTGCCTAAAAAGTACCCATGCATACAACGCATTGTGCAACTTATTAGTGATACCCAACAAAGGCCATGTCAATTGAAGGACTTTAAGGAGTTGATCCAATTCCTGGTACAAAAGCACAAGAAGAACAGTAAGAAAATAGCAACCGATTGTTTGGGGAGGGGGGTTGTCCAAAATATTCCAGATTCTCCACCTGTATAAGCTGGCTGTCTTCTAGAATGTCGAACAAACCAAACAATAGCTTAATGTAGAGCCTAATATTCACATGATATCCAGAAGCCCAAAAGTATGTTTCTCCTCGAAGGCCAAAACGTCCAGGCTTAGATGATAACATAGACATATACTGCCTAAGAGATGAAAGTATCTCATTCCTTTCGGAGTAGGACATCTTCTTATCCCATTCCTACAGCAGAACAATTACGTTTTCCTGTCAAGAGAGGAGAAGGAAAAATATTCTGAAGCCCAACAGTAAATTAAGGAAGAGAACCAATGAAGAAATACCTCTGAATTTTTAACCTTTGCAATTAAAAGTGCAATCTTCGTTTTATCAGCTATATTAGTAGCAGAAGAAAAATACTCCTCAACAGTATTTACCTGCAAAAGAAAAAAGAAAATTGAACCTCAAATTTCTAAAAGGAAAAATGCACTTGTACAAATATGATCAGTCAACACTGGATAAATTCTGAAAATTGGAATACATAATCATCAGACAAAAGAACCTTAGAAGCAAATTCCTAATGAGAAATAAGATAATCTACCATACATGTTCAACTGTTTATGTATGAAATCAAAAACCACAAGGCACGAATCGACTACATCAAAGAGAGACTAATCAACTCCGAAAAAGAAACAACCCAAATCTGAGTTGCAGTAAACATAGAACCAATGAAGGGTGAGTTCTCAGGGCATTTTCATCTATGGCATACGAAACACCATCAAAGTGAAAATGTCAATTTTGTTTCGTAAGTTATTCATAAGTTGAGAAGATGTAGAAACAGTCATTACATGTCGGTTCTTCCAATTCATATATGATTTCACATTAGGAAAATCAGAAACGAATGTGCTATTTAATAGGCCCAATGAGATTTCTGGAACAGTAATTTGTCCTATTGCTTTTACTGATGCAAACTGCCCAAGATGTCTCCTGGCCAATGCATCCATAGCTTCAGAAATCTGAAAAGGAAGACAAGAAAGAGGCATTTATTAAAATGACAATTGTACAATCGATGAAAATCTGATAAACAGCTTGAAGCAGAAAATAAGAACCCAATTTAACACAGATGAAAAAAATCAGGCGACTGAGAAGAACATGCCTGCATTTGCATGCGAATGGTATCAAGGAACTCCAGATGTTTGTCAGGAGATTCGGCTTCAAAGTGTTTACCCCTTTTGCTTTTCATTCCAGACAAAAACCTGGGATTCTTCTCTTTTTTCCGATTCTGAATAGAAACATCCATCCTGGACGTTTGACAACAACATAATGACATAATCAAAAGAAAAAAGGAAAAGTTAATCATTCCAATAACATGAAAACAAAACTAATGCAGAGGCCTCTGAAGACTATAAGATAAGTTTAGAGAAGAGAGAGAAGGAGAAATTACCCAGAGAAGAGCATACATGCAAGGCATGCTTCATAAGCCGTTTCCCGCAAGTCATCGCCCAGTAATCCTTCAAAAATCCTAAAGTTGTGTATCAGTTTACTCTCAAGCAGAAAATTTTAGGAATCAAGAAATATTAATGAACTTAATCTGTAACAGTTATGGACACTTATATCTACGAATTTAGAGGTCATGATGACATTATCTTGAAATAGAAACATATACCTGTTTGCAAACTAGGCAATCCTAGGTCTGGAAGTTCCCCGATGTTTACAGATTCAATACTTGTAGCTGTATCATTCATTTCTGGGACATCCTCAAAGCCAGATGCAGTAACATCTTTATAAGTTGAAACTTTGACATCCTCAAAGCCAGATGGAGCAACATCTTTATAAGTTGAAACTTTTCCCATATTGGACAGGCTTGATTGATTTTCAGCATAACTATATCTTACAACTGAAGGTGGAGGCCGCCGAGGAGGAGATCCAGCTGATTCTGGATCAGAACGAAGAAAATAGCATTCCCCAGACTGCAAATCCGTCTGCACAAAGAAGAAAATCAATCAACTAAAACACTAATCGTACTGTTGTATCTACTCAGAGAAGATCGTATCAGAAGCAACACATCAAGCAGCGCACCATCTCCAAAAGACATATTACACACAGATGGCTCAAAAGAAAGACACATTCCCTTCATGCAACCCTGAATCTTTTCCACAACGCAAAACCCACACATCTTTACAAACGAAAACTATGCCAATTAAGAAACAACCGCCAAATCATCAAGAAACCTACAGGTAAAGTATGTACATCATGCATATGGATAATGGATTAGCTACCTGACACCCCAGTTCCCCTTTTAGATAGAACTTAACTTCCATTCGATCAAAGTGTCCGCTTCAATTTTTCAAGTTGCAGCCTTAAACATAAACGTTTCAGATACATGAAAAGTTGGAGTCTCTCAAACATTTATCACAGATGGTGTCATTTCTTCAGGGCTCATGAAGTAAGCAATACTCACACGTTACATGCCCACGGAAAGACAAAACTAGGACAACGCTTCTAACGTAATAAAACAAAGAAGATATTTGAGAAAACAACCTAACACTAACTTAACTTTCAAATAGAATATAAAGAGCACCTCACTTGAAGCAAGTGAAAACAGATGGAAAAAAGCAGATTTCATGCCCTTACCGTTATTGGCAGCTCAAATTCTTCATGATACTTCCTAGTAGCTAAACCAACATCAAGAGCTCCACCTAACCATTCAGAACACCAAACAATTAACACAAAAACAAACGGCAAAAAGAAGAAACTTATAAAAACAGAAATTTAAATAATCGAAACAAACGGATTATTTGGAAGCTTACCGGATTGAATACAGTGAAGTACGTAATCGACGCTGATATAATCAAAGTTGATGTCAGATACGGTGCCGGAAGGAGTTCGGATGTCTTTAATCAAACCTAAAGATAGAACGAATTCGAGCAGCTTCCGACGATCCAAACGGTAACGTTCAAGCAAAGAGTAAACCTCCATGATGTAATTATTACTTTCCCCTTGCGCTCCGACTCCGCCTCCGTTCAGCTCCGCCGGAATGGAGGAAGAGAGTGGAGCTAGAGAGAGATAGGAAGAGAGCTAGTTGGAGAAGCGAGCTAGAATTTGTTGCCGAATGGAGGAAGTTTTTTTTTTGAGGTTCAAGTGTTTGAAAAGTTTGAAAAAGGGAAATGGTGTGAACTGGTCAGAGGTTTTACACTTTCACTCCATTGATAGATAGTGTGTTGTTTGACTGTGTGACTGTGTGTATGTCTCCGCTGGGCTGGAAAAAGTCGGGGGGTTTTTCATCATTACATTTTTATTGGCATGTGCCCCCCCAATTTTTTTCTCATTGCTTTTTCGTTTTCACCCCCTTCTTTTTCCTTTTCGCTTTTTTTCCCTTTTTCATCTCTAAATCTAAAGCTTTTTTTTTGGTGGTAAACAAATCTAAAGCATTTTTTTCATGCAATACAAAATTTGGTTTTCAATGTTGCGGTAAAAAAAAAAGATGAAAATTTTCCTTTATTGTACTCGAAATCGAAATTTTAATTAATGATTTTTTTCTATTTAAGAAAGAACTACATATTAATCTGTGATCTAATGGTTTATATTCTACGTACTCTCTCTCTATTCTAAAGTGGATGATTACTGAATATATATATATATATATATATATATATATACTCGTGATGTCTGGTCGCGCAATGCGCGACCCTGGCCAAATATATCTGTAAATTTTAGAAATGTTTGTATCTGAAAAAAACTATTTTGTATTTGGACCGATATATTCTAGAAATGTTTGAAGAATTTAGAAATGTTTTATAAGTGTGATCATATAAATGCTTGTATTTAGCATAAAAAGAATTTGTATTTGGCCCGGTACGTTTTAGAAATGTTTGAAGATTTTAAAAATGTTTTATAAGTGTTACTTCTTAAATATAAATAAACTTGATCAAATATATGTCTTGAAGTAAATGGAAGACAAAATATAAAAGCATCCTCATAAGTTTAAACATCAGAAAGATAATTATTGATGTTTCCATTAGTTGTGCCAAATCAATATTTAGTTTTAGAGATTTATAATAGCTTTGTAGTAAGCTTCCTCCAAAGGGTATACGCTTAATTGTTGAAACTATTTCTTCCAAAAGTTTATAGGTAGTAAAATATCAAAAATATGATTTTGAAACTGATTAATTGTTGAAACTGGTTGATCACAAATATGAGAATGAAAATAATGTAAATTTACATATATTTCAAGTTATAGCAAAAAAGAACTCACCTCACCATGGCAAATTAAAAAAAAAAAAAAAAGTAAAAGATAGCCCATTAAAAATTGAGAAATTTATTTTTTTCTGTAGGTAAAAATGATGTATAAAAACACAAATAAACGTAGAAAAATCATTCCTTCCCTCTCCATCTCAAATTCATAAAAAGCTTCCCTATAAATTAGTTAGAAGAAGTGACCTGAACTATTTATATGATGAGGAACTAAAAAAATTCTAAAAACTAAATCCAAAAAAGTATATTCTTGAAAGACCGAACACCAAAAAAAAGAGCTTCATTTGTAAATAAAATAAAATAATAATAATAATAATAATAATAATTGGTCAACTGGGAGTATGAAACAAAATTAAAGGTAATTAAACAAAAAAAACACACTTCATAACTGACTATATACGAAAAAAAACTTGAGACTCCATAACTAAAAAAAAGAAAACCAGTCTAATTGAATGAAACATAAAAAAGAAATTTAAAAAACCACACTTTGTAACAAAAATTCAATTAATCAATTCAATCCAAACAGAACTAAAATCATACAAAAATTCTAGGCTAACTAACCATATAAGAAATCACATCATATTACCTGACAACGGCTACGGTAGCTATAACGGATGGACGCATAAAAATAATAGTAATAACACTATTCTTGAACGGGAAAAACAAAAAATAATAAAAGCCAAACAAATGATCTGCGGAAAATAAAATCATTTAAATTTTAATACCTGTAACGGCACCACCATAATGGCCGAAGCAAGATCAATGAGAATTTTTTTCCCTTTGTTTTATATAGTGAGGTAAAGAGAATATTTTTTAAACTCGAAATTTTATCAAATTAGAATGTAGTTGATCATCACTAATAAAAACATTTAACATGGTAATAGGAAAGGAGTATATTTCACCACATATTCTCAATTGATGATTGATGAAAAATTTATTTTTTTTCTATTGTGGAGAAGGGATTGATTAGGGAGTCGATTGTCGTGGAAATGGGGATGGAGATTTGGGTTTTTTATGAACACGTAGTTTTTTTTTTTTTTTTTGCGAAAATAGGAGGTGAAGTGGATTTGGACTGCATTTGCCTTTTAAGTCTAGGAGATGTGTAAATAAAAATTTATTTTAAAAATATGATGTGAAAATGCCACATGTTAAATGGTGGTGTTTTCTCTAAAGTGTGATTTTTGTTTCTAATATAGTAAGATATATATATATATTTAATACAAATTCAACAATTATTTCAAGCAGAAAAAATACTTATCAAAAACAAATAGTATGTGATTTTTTAAACATTTAAAAGTAATGAGACCGATTTGAAATTCGTTGTTACAAATTATAGGCAAATTACCAAATTGTCGGCACATTATCAAAATTCGAAATTAGTTGTATAGAAATTTGTTCCTAGCAAAAATCGTCATTAAAAAAAAATTCCGTAGTAAAATACTTGTATGAGACGATGAGTATCCCAACCAACAGATTCATGGGATACATCACTACATAAACAGATAAACTTGTGTATTTTAAGAAATCCATAATTTAGTGAAAAGTTACCGGACCTTTTGACATGCATTGCATCCATAATCATTCCAATATCTTGTAGTACTATTCTTTTGTCACAAAACAAAAGTGTTAATTGACGCAAGTGCTACAATGATAGTAAAATGAAAAGTAACATAGTAACTTAAATGATAAAGGTATTGTCAGTTATTTTGTTTGTATCATATAATCTTTCCGGTCATTAATATAAGCCATTTTAATTTATACTAGGTTTTACCTAGTACGTATTTTTAATTGACGAAAAAACCTTTAAAATATTTCATAACAATCAAGAGAACACAATGAATGCGAAAATATATTTTTAAGGTTTTTTCGTTAAATAAAAATACAAATTAGGTGAGATCTAGGACAAAATGAAAATGACTTATATTAAGGACTAGAGAGAGTAGAAAATTATTAATTTTTTTAATAAGAATATTAGATTTATTTGTTTTCATCGCCGTGAGAGATTTAAAATATTGATATATGAACACAAATTACATGTTGTATAGCAATTTATTGAAATTTCAATGCTTAATTTGTACATGATAAGACAATTTAGTCAAGTTCTATATAATTTTAATAATGTATTTTATTACATTGATAATGTAGATTACATATTTACATTGTACAAATAGAGATAAATTTATAGAGATAAGTGACGTTACATAGGAATAATTCAGGATTGATATTGTTCTGACATCTGAAAATTTGGATCTTAACTAATGTTTTTTTTAAGGAAAAAAAAAAGAAACAATACACTAAAAAAATGGGAAAAAAATTACAGAAAAAAGGAACAAAACGGCGACGTCTGGTGTGTCAGTCTATTTCCCTCCAAATTGAAGGTCAGGGAAAGGGTTTATAAACCAAATTGGAGGTTTTTTGTTGGGTGTGTATATACTCTCTGATAAAGCTCAAGAAAAAGGAACAAAATTTTTTATAAAATCAAGAAGAAAATGGCGTCTTCTTCTTCCGCGGGTTCCGGCCCGGAAATTCCATGGGTTGAGAAGTATAGGCCCACCAAAGTAGCTGACATCGTCGGCAACGAAGATGCCGTTGCCAGGCTCCAGGTCATCGCCCATGATGGCAACATGCCTCACCTCATATTGGCCGTGAGTTTTGAAACCCTAATTCAAATATTTATCTTTGTAATTATCACCTCTTGCTCTCTTTTGATTATTGAATGAAGATTCGAAACTTATTACATCGAGGGTTAGAAGTTTCGCTGAAATGGTGATTCTAAATAATTGGCATTGTTTCATGGAACTCAGTTTTGGAGATTCGCTGATTTAGTGTTAAGTTCATATAAAGAAATTTAATGAAAAGAAGAGAGTAAAGAGATGAGAAAAGTTTGGGATTTCTTGTTTAAAGAATTGAGCTTGAAGCGTGAATCATTTGCGATGTGCTTAGGACGTGTGAAATGGCTGTAGTGAATCCCTTTCCATTACCTTGGGCGTGTGCCCAGGCCAGTGCGTAAGGAGGGAATGAATGTCTTTGAAGTTTCCCTTTCTGTTGATTTTGTCATTTTTGAGTTGGTTTTGTATGATTGAATCATTAAGCGTGAAGTATTTGTTTTCTTCTTTTCTTGTCTTCCATTTTTACCTTCCCCTCATTCAGACGATTCAATGTCACAGAGTTTTGCTGTAGTATGGTTTTGTTTTGTGCACAAGTGCTGGAACCATACCGTAATTGTTTGCATCTAACTGTGTGGTAGGCTTTACATCGCGAAGGGCATAGTTTAGCTGTTTTTTGTCTGAACAGACAATCGTTGCTTAGTGTATGAGAAAAATTGGAGCTCCATCGTTAATAAACTTATGGATGTACCATTTGTATTGAAGTCTATTGCTTTTCATTTATCTGGTACATATTTGGATTGTACTTATGTCTGACCGGTAAACAATGCTTTGCTATTGCTGCTGTGACTCACATTATCACATTTAATCGTTGGTGGCTTAAGCAATGTAATACATTTGTTTTCAGGGTCCACCTGGTACCGGCAAGACTACTAGCATTTTAGCTCTTGCACATGAACTCTTGGGACCAAATTATAGGGAGGCTGTTTTAGAGCTTAATGCCTCTGACGACAGGTACCTCCAAAAGAAACTGTCCTCTGAAATGTTCTTTCATGGATTCCATAATGCTTACATCCCTTCTCATCCAGGGGCATTGACGTGGTGAGAAATAAGATAAAAATGTTTGCAGTGAAAAAAGTCACTCTACCACCTGGCCGCCATAAAGTGATCATTTTGGATGAAGCTGACAGGTTAGTGATGCTTGTTTCTGGCATTCTCTTGGCATATAAGCAACCTCCTGATTTTTTATTTTTTATTTTCCTTTTGCTCTCTCTACTTTTGCAAGTTCTTGTTGTTGCTCTCTGTATTATGGGGTTGACAATGTATAGTTGGTTGTGAACTAGCATGACATCTGGAGCACAGCAAGCATTAAGGAGGATAATGGAGATGTACTCACATTCCACTCGTTTTGCCCTTGCTTGCAACACGTCATCCAAAATTATTGAACCGATTCAGAGTAGGTGTGCCCTTGTACGATTTTCAAGGTTATCTGATCAAGAAATCCTTAGTCGTCTCATGGCAGTTGTTGCAGCCGAAAAGGTATGTGCACAATAATTTAGTTTATTTTATTGTTTTTATGCGGATTCATTTCTCTTCATGTTTTGTTTCCCCTTGTCGCTGCTTAGCACAAACTAGGTTCCAATTTCATAGTTCAAGGAAGAACAACAGTCCTTATAATCCAATGCTGTTAGAGCTAAGTGGGAAGTCAGTGTCTTTTTATGCATTCTCCTCTTATCCTTATATTTTGATTTTTTTTCTTATCTGTTTTAGAAAGTCTAAGGTCTCATGGAATTGCCGATGGAGCTAGTGAACCTGAATCTTTCTGTATTTTCACTTGACAAGATCATCTCAATGCCCATCCATGATATCTATTTAGATGTAAAGAAATATTTCTTTGTTACAGGCACTTTGAAATTTGTCTTAAGTAGCTTTTCCATGAGTGCCTTATTTCCATTTTTGAGTTAGTCACTTACTGTTATGCAATCTGTTTCCCTTGCTTTCATGTTCTTAGATTTGTCAACGAATTTTGATTATTTAAATGAACAGTCTTCTATCACTTTATCTCTGATTTCCTTCTACATTCTTTTTGTTGCTGCAAATTTGGTGTTTTTTCCACTTTCATTACAAAAAGTTTCTGCTTTTCTACTTCATAAGCACGACAAAGTTTAGTGTGAAACTGTTAGCTGACTTTTTTTTGGGTTTCTGTTTTGATGAATGTCAACTGGCCTTTATATTCTGGGATGTCTTTTTCTTTATCTTTAGCGCCTTAACATAGTTGTGAATAGTACACATGCATCATTTATGATTCTGGTAAATGAAGCAGGTACCTTATGTTCCGGAGGGGCTTGAAGCAATTATATTCACTGCTGATGGGGACATGAGACAGGCCTTGAATAACTTGCAAGCTACCAACAGTGGATTTGGATTTGTCAACCAAGAGAACGTTTTCAAGGTTAACCATCAATCTACTAGTTCATTGGTCGTAAAAGGAAAAAAAAGATCGTTCATTTGTCCAAAGGATAGTTCTTGTGCTCACGACCTTCCTACTGTTATATTGACTGCTTTATCTTCCACTGGTTTGGCATTTAGGTTTGTGACCAGCCACATCCCTTGCATGTGAAGAATATGATTCGTAACGTTCTGGAGGGAAAATTTGATGAATCATGTGCTGGTTTGAAGCAGCTCTGTGATCTTGGTTACTCTCCCACTGACATAATAACAACCCTTTTCCGTGTCATAAAGAATTATGATATGGCGGAATACCTAAAGCTGGAGTTCATGAAGGTATTCCATGTAGATAGAGGTTGTAGTCATCATTCCCTTTTGGAGTAAGCCTTTGTTCACCCTTTCTTTCCTATAAATATACAGGAAACTGGATTTGCACACATGAGGATCTTGGATGGAGTCGGTTCGTATCTTCAGCTTTGTGGTCTGCTTGCTAAGTACTCTGTAGTTCGTCAAACAGCCAAAGCAGTATAGTGCATCGTGTTGTTGCTTTGAAGATCTGATATCCCACCGTAGTTTCCTGGGGAAATATTCGTCTGTAAACTAATCAGCGAATCCTCTTGTCTAATATTGTGTTTATGTTATGGTTGTAGGAAGTTTTTTATTCAGTGGAGGATGGTAAATGATGACTCTTTTAGTGAAATTTCCTTGATCCATTCCTTTGTTTCTTTAGTTTTTCTCCACTCACGGCACAAACACATAATGCAGTAGTAGAGTTTCTGTTAAGGGAGTTAATTAAACAAAAGAGAAACAGGGCTACTTAATACTCTTTTGTCTAAAAATGAAAATATAAACTAAATAATCATTTTGGTGAAGAACTAAAATGAAAATTTGATGAGGGACGACATAGAATCATTGAATCAATATAGATTAAAATTATAAGTCTAAAAGGTAGCTGTTCCTCCACATTAACCTCTGCAAAGTAGGCCAAGGCTTCACTCTATCCGGTCCTCCGCTCTTAAGTTAATCGAGAAACTCTCAAAACTTCCAAACTTCGGCTCTTAAGTACCTACATTGAGCGGTGAGTAGGCAGGCACCGTCCTACAAGAATCTACGAAAAAAGAAAAAGAAACTACACATATTTTTCTCCCTAAACATAGTTTTTTTTTTTTAAGGTCTCTCACATTTCATATTCTGTGACTTTTTATTATCCTTTCGTCATCCCTTCCTTACGGTTTTAATTAAGGAAGAAAAGGTTGGAAGAAATGTTAAAACAAAATATTATTGAAAATTTTCGCTGTTATTTTCAATTTTCAAAATAGACTTTGTGTGTATTATCTTTTCAAATAAACGGCCACTTGTTATGTTGGGTAAGACACCTTTATCATGTTTGGTAGGACATCTCTTGCTTGCCGTGTTAGAAAAGTCACACTTCTTGTTTGCCGTATTAGATAAAGTACTATTATTAACGCTGATAAGACAATAAAACATTTGAATGTGATTTTTATTTGAAGTACGGTCTTATAAGTAGGACTTCTATAATAGGTATTCCCAAATGGTTTAACGAATTTTGAGAAATAAATATCCTCGTAAAATACTGTTGAAGAAACTCGTAATATATTAGTAACTTTTGTGTTTTCCGTTTTTTAAAAATGTTTCTAAAAAAAGTTACTTAACTTACTTTTATTTGTGAACATTGAAGTGGTTTATTGTATAACAATTTTAATATATGTTTGAACAAATTTTTTTCTCTTAATTTTTAAAGAATTACAAGAATGTGAAGGGAAACAAAAAAAACATTTCGAGCCTTAGTTAGAAAGACTCTAAGTAGGAACTAGGAATTCATGAATCAAATGTTTTGATAGAAGTTTATAAGTTTGTAAAGATACCTCCTCTATTAATTTTATTTATTTATTTTTTTGTTTGTTTGTCAAAGGAGGTCAAACGGGGCACTTTAGACAAAATGAAAATAGGAAACCAAAAAAACCAAAAAATAAAAAATAAAAAAAATTGAGGGGTTTAGGTTAGGGTTTATAATCGTCCCACTTCCTAGACTTCGTCTCCTTAACTCCTCCACCTAAGGTTGTCGGATCCCGGAGTGCTGCGGCCGTCAGCAACCATGGTTCTTAAGTATGCATCTGTATTCATTCATGTCTCTTTGGCATTGTACTTTTTTTAGTATCTGATTCAATTTGTTGCCTTAGAGAATTTGTAAATATTTTGGCTCTATTACATTCGAGATTATGTTTACTTTTCTTGTCGATTCAATCTGATTTGATGCTAGTACCTCATGTAGCTCAGCTAAAACTAATTAGAAGTGAATTGATTCCCCCACTTCGGATCTGTTAATGATTCATAGGAATGGAGCTATGTAGATTTGAGCCTCTGCTCCATTAGTGGAGTTTGGGGAACTCTGGGTTCAAGAAGTGAGTTTTTAGAGGGGAAAAATCTGTTGAAATGCAACCGGAAATTTTACGGGAGCAATTTTGTGGCATCCTATTATACATAGTTCCTCCTTTTTAGTTTTTTTGTCATGTTATAAGCTTTTGAATTGTTCCCTTTTTGGATTGATTCTCTGTATTTAGTTGAGGGAGATTCCTGTTTCAATCTGTCTCCGCTCATTTACTCGTATAAAATGTAAACCTTATCCTTTCATCCATTAGTTTTCCTACTGGATCTTGTGCTTGAAAAACACAGCCACCCATATATGGTTTATACAACTTGTTGCTCTTGTGCTGGCTCACGTGTCATGTCCTATGATTTCTCCTACTCAAGATTTGTAGTTTTCATGATTGGTTATTTTATGGATGCTTTTAACAATTGTCTTTATGTCAACATAAGCTGAGTCACTAATCACTTAATCGGCAGGACTGAGCTCTGCCGATTCAGTGGTGCAAAGATATATCCTGGGAAAGGCATCAGATTTATTCGTTCAGACTCTCAGGTAACTTGTTCATTTGTTTAGGAGCTACTTTTCTAGTGCATTGCGTTTAGAACTGCAGCGGAACTTGTCCATCTTCTTTCAAAGCATTTTAGCTGCCGATTTGTTTTGCTTGGCGAAGACCTGATTTTTTCACGTAATTTCTTTGAAGGTCTTCCTTTTTGCTAACTCAAAATGCAAGAGGTACTTCCATAACCGCTTGAAGCCATCAAAACTCACCTGGACTGCAATGTACCGAAAGCAGCACAAGAAGGTTACTACATGCTTCTTTTTTTCCCCTCGAGTAACAATAACTTATGTCATTTCACGCTTTAATTTCCAAAAGAAAACAAAGAAAACTAGTCTGTGTGGACATTGATACTGAAGTTCATTATTGTTATTTTTGAATGGCTTGTAGGACATTGCTGCCGAAACTTTGAAGAAAAGGCGTCGCACAACTAAGAAGCCTTACTCAAGGTCCATAGTTGGTGCCACCTTGGAAGTAATCCAGAAGCGGAGAACAGAGAAGCCAGAAGTCCGTGATGCTGCTAGGGAAGCTGCTCTGCGGTATGTGTACAATAGGATGTCAGCCAGTTTATTTCTCAAGGGTTATTAGTTCCTAGTGCAAAAGATATGTGACGCATTACACCTCCTTGTATTTGTGATCAGTGAAATCAAAGAGAGAATCAAGAAAACCAAGGATGAGAAGAAGGCCAAGAAAGCTGAAGTCACCCGAACACAAAAGACTGCCAAGGGTAGCATGCCCAAGGGTGCTGCACCAAAGGGTCCTAAGCTTGGAGGAGGGGGTGGGAAAAGATAATTTTCCCTATTCATTTTTGCTAGCAATCTCTTGAAGCATTTAGATGGGATCATAGAATCCATACACTCTTCGCTTGTTTCCTCACCAATTTCTGGGTTAACTTAATGAAACATGTTGAACTTAGATTTTTGGCTGTTCAACAGTAAACTTTTGTGTTTGTGCAATTGGTTGATTGACCTGTTATTCTACTACTAATTGAATGGGACGGGGAGGAAAATTCTTCTTTTTGGTGGATTGTTATCATAACGAAGTTATGATACTGATTCATTACTTTCAGTGAACCAGAAAGTATCTTCATATTTTGTCATGAAAATAAGCTTAACAGATGACATTTTCTAGACGGAAATCAGTGTCCTGATCATTTTTAGGCCTCTTGGGTTTTGCACATCAAATTTTGATCATCCAAATTTCTAGCAGACTTCACAAGAAAGCAACGGACAAGCTGCTCCATTTCTGCATAGTCATTAGCATCTTGTACAAATTAAGCACTACAAGATTGCTACTCTCTACCTTCCCTTCTTGAACTTTCCTGCGCCTCAATCCACAATATCTACTAATTAATTTGTCATCTAACTTTGTTTTTTATTCTTCCCCCTTCATAAAGTACGTTTTATAGTCTTACTTGAGTCTGGTGATTTTATATACAATATGTTGAGCCACTCTTGTTCATAACGTCTAAATCCAATGCTTTGAAAGTGTTTGGTGCTATGCAGCCATCATAAGTATATCATAAGTTCTTAGCCACTATTGATTTTGAAGAATGTAGGAATTAAAAGAATTCGGAAAACAAGAAATGAAGCCTTGAAGGTAGAACAGGTCGAGCAGCAGCAACTAGTTGTGTTGAGTTTTAGTATAAAAACAGGTCTTTCCTTATCAGGTCTATTTGGTGTGGGAGGTAATGTCAACTATATAAGTTTGTTGACTCTTTCTCACAAAAAAAAAAAATAATAATAATAATAATAATAAAATAATGAGTAAATGAAAATGAATTGGCAAAGACTCTGTATGGTGAAGTGTACTACTCCCTCCGTCTCATATAAAATAGATCAAATAATAACTTATACTAAAAACAGTGCAATTTATAATTTACAATATAGATTAATAATACAATTTACAACATTGACTATATATTTTTTAGGACAACTACCATGTTAGAGGTGTAAGTTTAAGTGTTTGAAACAACAATATCATCGTTTGCCAATCACAAATGTAGTAATTTGAGTGGTAGAACAAATGAGTTAGTAAATTTCTTCTTTATGCAAAAAATATTGGTGACAGCGGTCCACGCGGTTTCTGGTGTAAAATGGAAGCCATTTAATTAGAGCATATTAAATTGCAACCAATTCCATTAAGAAATGGACAAGAAAATGAAGTCATAACTGCATATAAGCTAGATAGTAACTGTTCCACTACCATAATAGTATGATCATCAATATGCCCCCCAATTCACTAAAGAAAAAAATATATATTTAATCACATTTAGTATTAAATTTTGATATTCATGGTCATTTAATTGAAATTGATGTGTTTTATAAGTTCCAAAATTGGAGTTTGTTCACTAAACTTTGACGAATCGAAAAGTTATAGCCTCAGCCTTTAGACAATATCTTTTGGTACTTGCAAAGTGAAGAATGATTGTTATCTTTTTTTTTGTTAGGTGGAAAACAAAGAATCATTTCATAATTTGTAGACTATCTAATCCAATGAAAGAAGAGAGACCTATCCCTGAAATTTCTTCCAAAAAGAAAACTTCTAATCAATAAAATTCATCTGTTCCTACCCTCAACAAACAAAACAGAACAATTATTTTTAAACAGAAAGAAAGAGTGTAATTTTTTTTTTTGTTCTTTTGGCATGACCGTTGATGGATTTGAGAAGATACCCGTGACGAAAACTGAAAGTTTCTTGTGATATATAAGCATAGTTAACAGAACCTTAAACATTAAAAGATCCGAATATAACAGGTTGGATTTGGATATATGTAACTTGCTGTCTTAGCACACCGACTCCGTAAGTACGTACCAATTAACGTGCTTTGTTTGCCTTTGATCACAAGTATATAGTATGTCATATTCATTTTAGGTACCGTACGATCTGAGAACCAAAGTTCTAAAACCATTTGATTTGCTTTGTTAATTAAAGATAACAAAGTACAACAAGGCAGTACTATGTGTAATTTTTTTCCAAATCGCAGAACATGAAAACGTAAACCGCCATTGATATTTCCTTCTCTCATACATTAACATAAGAGTAAGCAATTAAATTCAAACATTCCGTTAATGTATTAACATTACATTTTGCTGTTTTGTGATGATTATAGCGTAAAATTGTCAATCGAGAAAATAGAAAAGTAACTACAATTAATTATCATAATTTAAAAAATCATAATTTTTTTTAATATAGCGTCATATGTCGACAGTAAGAAAAAGTATTTTAACACGGGGAAGACTAAATAATTAAGTAATCCAAGTATCCAACGAAGAACTAATGATGATGATGATGATCTATATTCTTAGGTAGTTAAAATGACATTCTCCACTCATTTCATATTTTCAAATGATATGATACTCCATCTTAAAAGTCATTATAAGAGATATCAAAGGGCTAATTTAGCAATTTTGTAGAATTGTGAAAGGTAAACCGCGTCATAATAAAGTATTTCCTAAATCGTAAGAAAAGGAACAAAATTATTTCCAAAATTGAAGTAAAATTAAAACGAGTAGGTAAAACAAGGGGAAAGTGGAAAGCTTTTTGACCCTCTTTCTGGGGGGGTGTTCAAAAACACAAACGCTTTGGCCTAATGTTATAAAGCTGTAACAGCTCACCCAATATCGATTTGGACAAGCAACCACGACACATATTTGCCGTCTTGTACAAATTTTTTGCTAGAAAACTCTCTCTGCAACTCTTAATAAAATTTCCCTGAATTTTTTCTTGCCCCGTTTGCCAAGTCTTTACTGTTCTTGTCATCAAGTTTAAGCCTTCTCCCAATCCCCATCTTCCAAGCCACTCTTCCTCTCAAGATTTCAGCATCAACTACCCACCACCACTTGATTATAATCCTATATAGTACATTTTGGCAGAGGCCCCATATCATAATTCAGAGCGAATTCAAAAGGGTTGTGAGTATTTTTCATTTGAGAGTTTGAGAAGAAGGAAGGAAGAAAAGAAAGAAAGATGATGAGGAACGGAGATCTGGAAAGTCGAGGAGGGACAAAGAGCAGAGCCCACCACAACAGTTATCAGCCTTACTATGTGGAGACCTCAGAGAGCCAGTGGACTTCATGGCTAGTTCCGATGATAGTTGTGGCTAATGTTGCTATGTTTATTGTCATCATGTTCGTCAACAATTGCCCCAAGAACAGTGATGGGTTCAGAGGACAATGTGTGGCCAAGTTTCTTGGGAGGATTTCTTTTCAGCCCCTCAATGAAAATCCTCTCTTTGGCCCTTCTTCTAACACGTAAAGTCCATTTCTTGCCTCTTTTCTTTGTTCCTTTGGTTTTGTGCCTTTTGTGTTTGACTTGGATTCATGGGGTTCCCTCTCTCTGTTGTATTTTTTTGATATTTCTGCGTCCGAATTGGTAGACTTCTCTTTGTTGCCTTGGAATTTGCTCGCGTTTCTTTCGTTTGTTGGACTTATAATTTCGTGGTACATCAGGAGTCATTTTGAAATTGAAACTGTAACTGAAATTTTTGTTTAGTTAATTAAGAAAAATCCAAACTTTCAGTTTCTTTCCTGGAGATGTAGTTCTGCCTTGATGATAATTGTATTCTGTACTTCTGCCTTTATATCGGTTGTTGTCAAGGAAGTGCCACAAGCATAATGTCCAAATTCAATCAATTTACCTGTACAAGTTCTTTGTTTTACTACTGGTAGTCATATTTAATAGGTTGGCCATTGATATATTGGGATGGAATTGCAGTCAGTGGAGGACTGGCATTGTTTTAGTTCGGCCTTGTCCTTTACTGAATGATTTGCTAGCTGAGAAACACCCTGGATGAACAATGTGGCAACTCAATGCTCCGTAGCTGTAAACATTTTGAAGATTTTTTATGCAGAAGAATATATCTTATACCGTAAAGAGGTTTGGACACGTAGCAGGCCTTGAGATTCCGAATAGGGTGTGTTATATATAATTGATTTATTTAACCTAATTGCAAAGATGACGGTGGAATGTTTTGTTCATATATGGTGGAAAAAGGGCCTAGTTATCTAAATAAATTGGGGGGGGGGGTGTTGTTTAAGGGTTGTTAACTCACATGACGAGGCCGATGTCAAGATTTAAGTTGGACTGATTGCGCAATTTGCATGATCTGACATCCTCTCGTTTTCTTTTTGAATTGGATGATTGTTCTTCTTTAAATTTGAATTGGATGCTTGTTCTTCTTTAAATTGAACATTAGAATTTTCAAAGTCATATTCCCCTTTTTGCTGACACCCTACTTGTCTACAATTAGTTTCTCCAATTCAAGAGAAAAGTTAAAGGCAAAAGGATTTTGAAAATTTAGGGACCTGTTTTAAAAGAATTGGCTGAATGATGGTTCTTATGTTAGTCTTTTTTCTCATTGAGCAGGTTAGAAAAATTGGGAGCTCTAGAATGGAGCAAGGTTGCACATCAGCATCAGGCATGGAGGCTTATCACTTGTATTTGGCTGCATGCAGGAGTTATTCACTTACTGGCGAACATGCTGAGCTTGGTGTTTATTGGAATTCGTCTTGAGCAGCAATTTGGATTTGGTATTTCCCTTTGCCCTCTAATTTAACGTGGGAAATGAATAAAATCATTCTATTGGTTTCTGGCAAAATAATTGGAAATAGATATTAATTGAGATATTTTGGGGTTGGCATGTTCTGGAATATCTAGTATGTCCAATAAATAAATAAATAAATAGAACTGAGGATACATGTTCACCAAGGTCTTACTCCTGAGTCTAAATGATCAAATTTAGTGCCATAAAGTTATTCTGGAATAAATTTTAAATTTGATAAATTAATTTAAATTCAGATTAAAGTACATTGTGAGACATGTCTTTGGTGCTGTTATGATCTTTTGCAATATATATTAACCCTTAACTCTGTTTGTCAACTGCATTACACAGTGCGAGTTGGGGCTGTTTACCTCTTGTCAGGAATTGGCGGGAGCATACTCTCATCCCTTTTTATTCAGCGTAGTATCTCTGTCGGAGCTTCTGGTGCTTTATTTGGACTTCTTGGAGCTATGCTCTCAGAGTTGCTCACTAATTGGACTATTTACAGCAATAAGGTACTGCTGCAACATTTTTGTGCCAGTATACAAGTTGATTGACTGAATGAAAATTTGTAGGATGGAAGTATTTAAACAGAATCTTGAAGTGTTTTTCTATCCTTGTGCTATCGGACTTGTAAGAGTTCCAATTTGTATTCTTGCACTTATCAGTTTCCTGTTCTTAGGCTGCGGCTCTTATCACTCTTGTGATTATCATCCTGGTGAACTTGGCCCTTGGAATACTTCCACACGTTGATAACTTTGCGCACATTGGGGGTTTCCTCACTGGTTTCCTCATTGGCTTTGTGTTACTGTTTCGCCCTCAATTTGGTTACCTGGAAACGCGTCATCTTCCTGCTGGCGCTCGTCTGAAGTCGAAATATGCTGTTTACCAGTTTGTTCTAGTGGTGATTGCCCTGGTCCTGCTAATTGTTGGGTAAGCTTTGTAATCTATGAGCTTTTGTATCTTTTCCTTTTCTGATGGCATACCGAAGCTGCGATAGAAATAAATGATACTAAATCCAGCTTGGGATGGACAATACCTTATCATCATTTTTTTATGCATTCACTTCCTGTGTGTCAACAAACCAGCGACTTTCTGATACCTTTATTTCTTTTATTTGCTTCTGTTTTTCAAAACAACGTTGTCGCTGATTTATCTATCTCAAATTCGCAGATTCACCGTAGGATTGGTGATGCTGTTTAGAGGAGAAAATGGCAATGATCATTGCAGCTGGTGCCATTATTTGAGCTGTGTGCCAACTTCAAGATGGCGCTGCGATAATTAACTTGGGTTATGTTGGGGCGCTTCTACTGCTATATTTCTTCTTTTACCTATATACTTTTGTCCATAGAGAGGGTTCTCGTATGACCTTTTTTCTTTTTGCCCCTATAGTCGTTTGTACAGCAATTATATTTGCTTGTGCTGCAGTGGCCAAGCTCCATATATATTCACACAGGATGTCTTTATGTATACACACGACTGCGATTGATTATATATTTTATTATGGCATTTCTCGAGATCATACTTGGTCAAGAAACGCAGTTGCTACATTCAAATCTTGATTTTACAGTTTCTCATCTTTATAGTTTGTAGATGATGATAGATAGCTATTGGAAAAAATAAAAAATAAAAATTATAAAGAAAGCAGAGAGAAAATAATAATAGAGCTATGTTGGGACAAGTGTTGGTGTCCTTTGTGTAACTAGTAAACAGTTTCAGAAAAGCAAGGAAAAAATAAAATGCCAAAACGATGGCTTCGCCCGGACTCGAACCGGAGACCTTCAGTGTGTTAGACTGACGTGATAACCAACTACACCACGAAACCTATGCGGCAAGAAGTCGGAATATTTTAATAATATAGAAAATCTTATTTGTGGTAACCTTTTTCATTTGAAGCCTATTTATTCCAAAGCCCCAGATAAAGAAGACGTGTGTACTTTCTCAACTATTTCAAAGTTAAGATTTAAAATAAAACCAATATCTCTATCTATCAAAGCATTACTAACAAATCTCAATTTAAAATGATGCCTAATACTTTACATTTTGTTGGGAATTCTTCAACAATCATTCCATGAACAATTAACAAATTTATGGGCAGCTGAGTCAATGTTTCCGTAAGTTGAATAACAAATGGTTTAAAGTCAATTTGAAAGGCATATGAAAGCGTTAAAATTGTGGAAGGGAGCTAATTAATCTTAGTGCTCATATGTTTAGATTTTGTGTTCAAGTTATTGTGTTTGTATTTGAGTCAAACTAGTAGTTAAAGCTGAAAATTGAACTTTGAATAATAAAAATAAAAAGCCACTAGAAATTTGATTTAAGAAAAATGAAAGGAGTTAAAAAAAGGGCAGGAAAAATGCACGATTTTCTATTTCAGGATCGGGAGGTTGATGATATAACGTTAGTTTCAAATTAAATCCCCATTCGGTAGTACCTCATGTTCATCACAAGTTAAGAAAAGAAAAAAAAAGAAAATTTCAATGAAATTTTGAACTACAATCTCGTGATAATAACAATTTACTATTGTTATCTTATTGAATCTTTAATCTCGTAACAAGTCGAACGTAGATTTATTTTTTTTTCTTCTTTCTTCTTTTGTTATGAAAAACAAATAGGCAAATAAATATCTTATAAGTTTGTTATTAAAATCTCATTTCGAACAGGAAGTAAAAGAAAACAAGAATATAAATTTCAGGAGTTCTAAAAATTTCCTAAAGAACTGTAGAGATACTAAAATTATAAGTAAAAAAGCAAATATGGCTTCGCCCGGACTCGAACCGGAGACCTTCAGTGTGTTAGACTGACGTGATAACCAACTACACCACGAAACCAATTCAAGTATGAGATTACAGTTCAGAAATTTTTACAGTAAAACATTACATATATCCACATAAATTAATGCGAACAAAAGTTCTAAAAGTTGCACACAGGCTATGTTCTAAGCAGAAACGAAATGGAATGGACAGAAAATGTTTGATTATAAAAGACGAACGAGATTAGAAAATTTTAAACTGCTGGGATTATAAAATGCATCTGAATTCTGAGCAACATCAGGTTGATATGCTCATATGCAGCCTTACAATATTAGTCATCATGGTACGTGTTTTAGATTCAGATACATTGACTAATTTAAAGGTAAAGAAAAACTACTACATAAACTAAGCTAGAAGTTATTAGTTAGGCACAGTTCATTAACAAGAGAATCAAAAGTGGCCAAAAGTAGTCTAGTATCTGTGCCAAAGGCCGCCACTGAATCCAACAGCTTCTTCCCTGATTGGCATGCCAAGCCTGTCCAAACGACCCGACCCCGGGTAAGCTTTGCTAGTGAAATTGGCTTGCAATGCAGCAACTCTTTGAGGATTCACTCTTGTTTCACCGTATCCGTGAACAGAAAACCTCTTGGTTGAGCTCGATCTTTCATATTGAGGCCTCTGTCGGGGAGCGCTGAGGGATCTCATCTTAGCCTTTGATGATTCAGTGCAAGACATGTAGCTCGGGCAGTCAGAGTACCCGCTCAGGCAGCTTCTTGAGCCGTCGCTTCTTGTCGGGGTAAATGGCCCTCTTCCGAGATGATCACCTTTCGATGAAGTTGAAAGTATTTGGGGGCTACTTTCAGCTGTGCAGAAAGGGTCTTCTTCTTCATCAACATAATAAGAGAAGTTAATAGGACTCACACCAGATTGAGCTTCAAAAGAAGATAGGCTTGGAAGTGTACGATGTCCAGTGGAGTCCTTTGATGTAGTGAAGCTGTAACTGTACTGATCCGAGCCAATGCTAAGGTGAGAAGAATGGAACAGGTTCCTTCGCTTGGCAGCGATTTGGGGTTTACCACTATCAATCTCAAGAATTTTGTCACGTGATTCATCATATTTAGAACCAGGTCTCACATTTGCTCCTTCTATCTCCCATGATTTAAAAGCCATTCTACCATTTTGATAGCTCCCAGACCTGTTCTTTGAGCCATTTCTCTGTTTTTGACAAGAGTGAAGATAAGATTCAGATGAAAAAAATATTGTGGATAAATTCACTTTAACAAGAAGATTAAAGCATGGTAGGCAAGGTTTTCCAATTCGCACCCGGTATATCAGATTTTCTCCATGCATACTCCTAGCTCGAGCTAGATGTTCAAATTTCTCAGGAGTAGCAGGGCCCTGCACATTGAATATGTACATTACACACTCAACTCCTTTTCCAGTGCACAAGGATGAGATGTAAGTTGCAAAGCAATACATTGAAAGGGAACCGTGTGATGACATATTTATCAAACTTCTCACTGGAAATATACTAGCTTGTCAAAGATTCAAGCATTAACAGGACCGAATTCACATACTAATCTCGGTCATCATTCCCTGCTAAAGAAGCTCCATCCAACGTTCAGGGAGTAACAATGAAAGTTGCCTACAGAGCAATGACTAACCTTGTGGGGTGATTCAAAGATCCCCACGCGACCGACACATGCAATGGTGTGGGACCTTCTTGCCTCCCAAAGTTGCTGTAAAAAGCATGCATTATGATCCCGCTTTCTCACAATCCGGCCTCGGACTATAGCTTGAAGCTTCACCAGTGCTTTCAGTGCTCGCAGAGCTCTCCTTGACTTCAAAAGTAATCCCACCAAAGCAAAAAAGGTAAGCAAAGATAAGCAGAAGACAAGTACAGCTAAAGTGCAGTTTACTTTAGAATTTAGATCTTTAATTTGCATGCTAAAAGTAAAGCTTACGTGACCAAACTAGTTAGCACTTTAGATGATACTGACAAAGGGCAACATCGAAAGATTTTCGGTACTTCCACAAGACACCAACTAAAAGAAAAGGCACTCATTTACAATGAAAACAGATCACCAGAAAGCCTTGCTCAACAGATTCTTGATTGAATCCATGGAGTATGGACAACTTTTCATCCAAAAGTCCTCTTGAATTGGAGATGGAGGGAAAACAGTGAAGGCCTTTAACATGTTCAGAATATTTTCAACATTTGTGGTTCGGATAGAAAAGTCACAACAATGACATCAACCTCATTAATAACAGGGACCACTAAAAGCTATATATAATCTCAATAATTAGGAACAAATTCTCAGTTCTTTCTAAATTAAGTGGGCATGCAAAACCGAAATGGCGGATGCTGAAGAAGCACCTTGACCTAGCTACTGCATTATTTCCATAGCTCCATAGGTCCAAGTCAAAATCTTCCCATCATCAGCCTACTGACTACTGTAACTAATCCTCCATTTCATCATCTTGCTTTTTCAAGTCTCAATCAGTCTTGCTTTATTAATAATAGTATTATTTTCTTAAGCGGTCACAATCTGTTGATCTCAAAAATCTTTTCTTTGTCATTGATAACAGCTCACTTCAGTCAAAGCAAACATCTTCCTTGAGAAAGTAGAAAAAAAGAATAGATGATGGGATGGGACATGGTTAGAAGAAATTAAAGCAAAAGTCTTCCCACCTGCTACACAACTTATCAAGACTGCAAACAATACCCAAGTCAGTTTCAGCATTCATCTTCAAGATTTTACCCTTTCTTCCATTTTCCAACAAAGAAACAGAGGTATTAATCCCAAGTCCCAAAACCAATGAAAGCCAATCACATTGCAGACAAGGTAAACCCCAAAGGAAACCGGAGGGTAAAGTTAAAAGGGTAGTAACACTAATGGTAAATTTTGCAATTTTTTGGGGAATAGTTCAAACCTCATCCGGAGAAAATAACAAAAAATAGTGGAGAGATATCCAACACTGAATCATAACAGTGCCACGTACAGCCATACACTATTAAACAAAACCGTACAGAAATCAGATCAGAAAAAGTTCAGAAGAAAGCTTATAACACAGTGACTGCTGCGAATCTAACCCCATCAAAGCTGTCCCAGAGGAGGGGGAAAAAAGGAGAATAGAAGTGACCACCTCATTTAACCCACAACAACGTGCCAAAGTTTCATTGTTACATATTTTGTATTTTGGCTCATTACCACTTTTCTTTTAAGACCAAAAAAATTCCAAAGGACAAACAAACTCCAGAAGAACATATAGACATTCCCCACAGCTTCATCCTCGAATTAAGAATAAAAAAGATTTTAACCTCACCCACCAGAAAGGCCAAAAAAACACAAAAGAAAACAAACAAAAAACAGTAATTAATTTTATCGGTGAGCTAATAATGTATTTTCACACTCAAAAGGACACGTGAACCCTCCTTCATAGTACTAACTTGTTAAGGCGCCCAAAACGACGTCGGAAGACTCGTCGGACAGTTAACTTAAAAAAACCGACACCAAAGCAAACCCACCGGAAAATACGACCCACGTCGGAGTGATAATGACAAAATGCATAAAAAACGCATGCAAAAGGACACTTTTGCCCTTAACGGTCTAAACAAAATTGGTAACTAACCAGGTAGGCCCGGAAATGGGACTGGATCAAAACCGCCGCCCATTCTTCCCGATTCCCACGGCTTCCTCCGATCACGTTAACGGCGGCCGACGGCGAAACAGCACCCACATTTCCACCCGGAAGCGACGTCACTCTGGTGACATTAGTATGATGTGAGGAAGGTATGCTGCCTCGGCCATTACTGGTCAACCTCACGACTTCTGCTGCGGCTTGCGCGGCGGCGACGGCGGCCTCAGCCACCGCAGCGGTGGCGGCTGCCACCGCAATGGCATGTTTGCTGGGATCCACTTCGTCGGAAACGACCGCCGGAACACGTTGGTCTTTCTCCCCGTACGACTTCACAAAGCTCCATCTTTTCTTCGTTGCTTTACCTTTGGAGTTGGGTTGGGACTCAGGTTGCGATGATGGGTCGGGTTTTTTAAGTCCGAGAAGTCCCCGGAACCATTTAGAAGCTTTCCCCATTTTTCTTCCTTCCTAGTTTCAACTGGAGTAAATTTAACCAGTGACTAGGAACAAGAAACAAGCATTGTAAATGGGGTTTTGGATTGGAGTGAGTGTGACGATATACTTCACTGTGTGACTGTGTGTGTTTTCAACAAAGACAAGAAAGAGGAATGAAAATGTCCTCCGAAAACTACCCCCGGAGTTGGTGTTTTTTTATAGTAATTGTTCTTCTACACAAAGTGTATTCTAATATGGATAATTTGTGTGGGACAACGCCATGGGACAATTTTTTTTTTGGCAATTCTGTTCATTTGAGGCTTTGTTGAAGTGCCAAAAAGTGGGGACTGAAATGAAGGAGTTGGAAGAAAAAAATAAACGCAATAAATAGGGGTACAAGACTTGGGATTAACAATGGGGCTGTGCATGAGAATTTGCTACTATTAATAATATTTTGCATTGAAGAAAATTGAGAAAATAAATGCATTGAAAATTGCGGGTGAGAGGAAACTATGACCAAACTGATGAGAGAAGAAGAATCATTCATTATTCTACTTGTTTTTTTACAGTACTCCCTCCATTTCAAAATAAGTGTCATCCTACACTTTACACATAATTTAAAAAACTATCAATTAGTGTAATAAAATTACTTGAATATTCTCAACTAACTCCATTAAAATAATGTCCACCAATAGTATTAATTCTTTTGAGGGTAATTTTGGAAACTTTGAATAAAAAATGTATTGAAATGTGAGAACGAACACTTATTTTAAAATTTCTTCATTTTGTTAAAATGACACTTATTTTAAAACGGAGGGAGTATTTTTTTTTGGTACGTACACAGTACTGTGGGTCACAAATGAATACGAGTAGTAAATTAGACCGCGTTGGTTTGTGGGGATGGAAGGATTTGGGAAAAGCGGGAAGAAATTGACCGCTGCTTCTTCGTTTTTGGGAATTAGGAAAGGCACATAAGTTTTCACCCCAAAAAAAATAATAAAAAAAAAAAGAAAGGTAAATAGTGCACCATGTTGCAGTTTAATTAGAAGCTGTTTTATTCACAAATATAATTCCGATTTTGTTTTGTAACATGTTTGATGGAGGGCTAGAAATAAATATAAATTGTTAGGGTTTTTATGTTATTTTTTTTTATCGACATTGGAGTTTTATTTCCGTAAGGATATTTCTGGATTTTTATTAGTTCGATTAGGGTTTTACTTTTGTATTGTTATTCTATTTAAATACTCCTGGCCGTCAGTTGGATCGTAGTTTTTGATGATTTTATAAAATATCGAGATTTTCTCTCAAACTATTTTCGGTACTCCTCAAAGGCCGTAAATTAGTAGATTAATTTTTAATTGTTCTATGTGTTGGTGATTTAAAACTAGTAGTGTTTTAAGTTTCCGGTGATTCGACGGATTGAAAATCGTTAGCCTAGATCACTGCCGATTGATTTAGGCTTCCGCATGCATCAATGTTGTTTGAGTCAAAATTGTATTTGAAAGTAAGGACCGATTTTGCTCAAACTAATTTCAAATGACTGTGTAATATTCTCGAAATCCGGAGTCCAACCGTTGAAATTGCTTAAGGATGTCAACGCCTTTGATTCGTAAAAAACTGAGAATTCAAGCTTTGATGACGAAATAACTAATGATTTCGGAAGATGAACAAAACGGCCGATCAAGGCCGGTTTTATTGAACTTGTGAGAAACGAATCGGTTATGAACAGCCTGAAATATCCAGTTGTTTACAAAGACCAAGACTAAAAACTGAAAGAATACATGAAAGTTTGAAAGAAAATAAATAATAAAAGTTATAAAGAATCAACAAATATGATTTCTTGTGTCATGAATTGTGTGTATTTGTCGTCTCTCTTTTACAGTTTTTAAAGGTGATTCGTCAACCCTAGTTTAAATGCAACCGAAGTTGAACTTAAGGACTTATGTTGCGGTCGAAGTCCTTTTCCGACAAAGACTGTGCAGTCGACGACTCCTTTTTAAATTCGAATTGTTGTCCGCTATTCTTTCTCACCGACAATATGGCGAGCTTTGATCGATTTTATTTTCTCCATTATTGTTACGATCGGCTCATTCCTATGTGGACCGGATTTGCTAAAATCGGTACAACAAATGTTAAAGAACATTTCATTCTGAATCGTAATCTAAAAATGATTAGGCATGATTTCGAGTTTTTTGCTCTTTGAAAAGAGATGGATTCGGATCAAATGTAAACTTTTGGTCTTAACGTGGAGTTATGATGCGATGTCGACGGTGCAATACCAACCATGCATATTATAAGTTTCATCGACAACAATAATTGAGGTATTATATAAATATGAGTAAAATGAGTTTGACAAAATTTGTTAGGCTATTGTATGTGGTCGGTGGATTTTTGTGTAACTTGCTTTACATGAAAATGGAATTCTTACCCCTCGAATCCAAAAAGGAAAAAAAAAAATGGCAAAGTTTATTTGTAGACATTTCGCATTTCAATGAAAACTTTATACTTCCACTCATTTTCTCCTCACGAGTGAATTTCAAGAAGTACTAGAGCGGGTGTGTGATATGGTGGTCGATACTTTTTATTTAGTTTTTATTTTTTTATAACAATCTTTGACTTGGTACAGTGTCAAGTAGCTTTTAGTATTAAAATGTTCAATTTTTACAAGTTCACTCGATACATCGAGTAGAAGAAATTTAGGGTAGGGGTTCACCTATTTTGTGATAGATGTAGTAAAGTATATTAGTTCATCCATTTCATATCATTGGTGTAAAATTGACAACACCAACCTCTCACAAAAAAGGTGGAAAATTGATGTGTAAGTTAGTAGTAAATTATTAACACTCGCATGATAAAGGTAATAATATCATTAGCGAGGCATTTTAACTTTTATTATGCTCGAGGTTTGAGCTACGCCACAAATATACAACCAAAATTACAATATGTTTTGAGAACATTTTTATCTTTAAGTGCTTATTCAGATCAAACCTCGAATCAGTCGGTTCATGTCAAAAAAAAAAAAAACCCATCTTGAATCAATTAATCTATATCAATGCAAGAGTTATTGTGGACAGAACGCATTTGACATTGTACTAAAATCAGTATAAATTTAAAAATTTAATAATTCAATGTGAATTATTGTTTTTTTTTTTACATAAATAATATAATAATAAACTAGTTGTTTAGATGAAAAACAATGGGCACATATGGAGGCAAACGCACGGGGTCAAATATTATGAAGGTAGGATGGACCCGTGACCAGAGTTCACATCCTAATAAAACTATATAAAAAAAAAGGCTATGATGAGGACTTGGTTCAAAACACACATTTTCGTTTCTGGCTGCTGCAGGATTTGGTCCATTTGGATGTATACATTACACCGACTTTGCCTTGTTATTTTTGCCGGTTGGGTTCAGTACAAGTGTGAACTTATAAAGTTTTTCAGTGGCGGTCAACAATGTAGACTCGTAAGCCTTTCACACTTCTTAAGTCTCAACTAGAGTTTTCTTTTTTTTTTTTTTTTTTTTTGGGTAAACAGAGTACTCTACTCCTAGTCTTCTAGCAATACACTTATTATTTAATCAAATTGTTTTGATATTCATTCATTTCATCGATTGAATATCCGAGTCTAATTAAAAGTAACTGGATCCATAATTTCGATACAAGATGAATATTATATTGAAAATAAATTTATGATATCTTTCAATAATTATTATCGTACTATTTTACGATTCGTCATTCATTACTAATCACGTTTCGCAAATGAGGATCCAGGGAAGATTCATGCTGGTTAAATACCACACATGTACAACAAAATTACAAATCATCGCCACTATGGTCCACGGAAAGTACGTCGGTGAGCTTCCTTGTTGAAGCTGCAAACCGCAATACGATTAGGACTTAGGAGGAGTCATGCACAGTGTAGTAAGTAGTGAAGTAGTACAAGACAGAAAATCTCTAAAAGATGATTGATTAGACGTTCCATTAGTTTCAGAACAAAACAAATAACCTTGAGACTATAAAAAGGTTTTCTGGTGCAACCTGACCCTATTCTTGTTGTTGTTTTTTTTTTTTTTTGGGTTTGCCTTTTGGTATAGAAAAATATATTTTTGGTCATTGATTAAAGTCTGACTTGTCTAAAGATAATAGTGACAGATAACTAGATAACACTCTCCGTTTCAAAATATAAGTTATTTTACGTTAAAACATATAGTAAAGTGACAATCTTCTAACAATTAATTTATGTGTTAATTATCTATTTTACCCCTTATTGATTATATTGGAACTACACACAAGACTAAATAAAAATATATTGGTATTATTTATTGAAAGTAAAATTAGAAAAATAGCCATTAATTTATCTATAATTTATAAAACGACTTACATTTTAAAAATCTCTTCAACTTTAAAATGACGTACAAATTAAAATGGATGGACTAATCTTTACCTCTGCTTGTCCTTATTTCAGGTGATTCATTGGAAATGACGAATCTCTTCGCGTTTGGTAAATTTGCTTCTTTGTTTTTTGGGTATAGAGAAAAAGAAAGGCAGAAAAATATGCATCGCGTAATGAATGCCATTATTCTCTTTTCACAGAAGATCGAATCATTTTTCCTTGCGTTTCTGTACTTCATTTTTTTTTCTTCGGCCTTCGCCGCTAGGCCTACTACTACTGCTCATAGCTGCACCCTTGGGACTCTGTTTCATTTTTTTTATTCCGGAGTGGTTTTGATATTTTCTAAAGTTTTTTTTATTTATTATTTTTACATTATTCATGTGTCTTTTTTACATTTTTTTCCAACGAAAAAGAAAAGAAACACCACGGAAATAACATATCCAACACAATCTCTAAAGATACCAATTTACATAATAAAAAGGGTAAGAGTATAGTCTTGTTTTTTCTTTAGGCTCCGTTTGATAATCACTGAACTCTGAATCTAAACACTTAATACTTATTTTCACTGAAGTCTGAAGTCTCAAGACTGAATTTACATTATATGATAAAAACGTCTGAATTTGATGTCTGAAGGCTGGAGTTTGAAATCTGAAGACTGAATCTGAATACTCAAGTCTGAAAGTTATTTAAAATTTTAAAATTATTAAAATTAATTATAAATAAAATTCTTTTAAATAGAAAAATAACTAATATTTTGTTCTAAATAATAAAATGATAATTTTAAAATATGTTTTTGGTGTATATAATGAAAGTAGACATTACACTTGGCAAATAATCAATATATAATTAAATTTAGATTATTTACGTATATCGATATATATATATATGTATACCTTGTTATTTAGCAAATTTTATGTATTAAAATTAATTTAAGTTGAGTTTGAAAGTTGGCAATTTTTTATACTCATAGAATAAATTCAAATTTAAACACTTTTAATTAATTTATCTTAAAAAAACAAAATTTTCAAAATAATGTAAAAATAAGCATTGAAATAAAGACGAGGGAAAAAAAAAAGAAAATAAATAAAAAAAAGAGTCATCACATAAATTAAATGATAAGTGGTAGGCCTATCACTTATTTTCTAGGTCACAATTGAACTGATCATTCAGATACACTTAATTAATTCAGACAGTGAAATTTTAGTTATCAAATACACTTAATTTATAAGTACTTAATCAGTTCAGAACTTATTTCATTAAGACTTTTTAGTAGCGATTATCTAACACATTTAATTTCATTAAGTACTTAAAATAAATTAAGTCTCTATATTAAGTGATTATCAAACAGAGCCTTAGTTGGTGATTTGCGAGATTTCATTATGGGATTAAACAAGACTTGAAAACACAATCATGCCTAGCAGCAGCAATACAGGCAATTTTTCATAATGATTTGATTTTCAGTTTTGTGTCTGGTTTAGTACGGTGTCAAATTCTTTTACCATTCCATTTCAATAATCCGCTTCAATGTATGTATTGGTTTAATTCAACAAAGTGCCTTGTTAAGATGGAATAAAGAAATTACCTTTTCACTCATTTTATCTCCTCTCCCAAACTAGTCCTTTTCCGAATTTTTATTTGAAAGGCTTTAACTTTACAAATCAACTATTGTCAACTTGAGTACAATTAAACTTTAAAATTGTTTTTTTTTTTGAACTTTAAATGAAAATATTTAATTACCACACATTGTATGGTGTCTAAAATTAGAGAGTACATCTCTCCTAAATAGGATATTTTAATCACTTCATTTTTTTATCTAATGAAATTACTAGTTAAAATTTTTGAAGTCCAACGGTCAGCAACAGTGACTAATCCCCTTCGAAGAATTGTAAGCACCTTGATGGGTGGGACAACTGGTCAAAATATATAAGGTTGTTTCATATTCATGATGAGGTTCAAACCCTCGACTTATGGTTAATGGTGGAGAAGTCCCTTCCATTTCACCACAACCACTTTGATTAACGATTACAAAGATGTACCTATTGGTATTGACAAATTAATGCCATAACTTAACTATGAAGCCCAAATATCTTTAGCCCAATTCCAATTTGTTTTGTCGAATCTTCTGGTTTTTCATCTGGGTTGTATGCTACACTTTTAGAGATATAGGCTTCTCCCGGCTTTCTCCTTAATAATCCATTTTCATCTTATATCGGCAGTGTGATATTCCCCAGCGAATTTGGCTTCTCAGGAGAGATATATTTTGTCTCATCACTGATGCATACTATTAGAATGTAGATAGTCTAGTAACGCGATAGAGTTTCCTTATCCGGTGATTTAAGGGATGTTTTGTAACTAAATCCCTACATTTCTACTTATTGGGATATTGACAAATTAACTAATATTATATGTATATATAATATTGTTCTCAAAAAAGAAAAATTATAGTAATTTGGCTTTTCTGCATCGATATCTTGGCTTTTATTTTATGAACATTGAGCTATTCATTTTACATTTTTGAACCAAGTCATCCTGAGTTTGACTTTATGGTTTGTGTTTATGACAGAATCCCAGTACTGGCACTCATCCATATATCAACATCTTTAAATGATTTGATTGGACGAAAATAATTACATTTCATAAACAAATTTCAGTGCCAAAAAAAAAGTTTGGGCTATGGAATTATGTATGTTGTGAGATGGTTTATGATGATGACTGATCAAGAAACTCAAGAGGACGGAGGTAGATGGATCAAACTTTTCAAGATCAGGAAAGTATTCGGGATTCTTGTGAGTGGTGTATGTGATCCAAAATATATCTGCCAACAAATCAAATTAATCATTATTCTATGTGCTATGAATCTATTTAACTATATAGGAAATGTTTTTTTTTTTTTTTTTGAACATATTTGCAGAATTCTTATGAGTGGCACCTATTTAACTATATAGGAAATGTTTTTCTTTTTAAGATATTTGCAGGGTGTCCACTCTGTCGGTAATAGTGACCGACAACTGGCCAAAATATTTAAGATTGCTCCATGCCTATGGCGAGGTTCGAACCCTCGCCCTATAGTTAAAGTGGAGGAGTCCCTTCCACTCTACCACAACCACTTTAGTTACTATCTAGCAAATGATGATTAAAAAAAACATAAAATATTTGCCTTCCATCCTTTCGGGATTTTGTAAAGGCATTGTTTAAATCAGTCGTGGCTTCTTTGGATCCTCCGATAGTGCCTGGCGGTACTAATCGCAACACTTCGCAAACAACTTACCGTGAATCATGAATGCTTCATTTTCCTGACATCTTCCCAGGTCAACCCATCTTTTGATCCCTTGGAACTTGCAATTTCTTGTTGCTCTTTAACCATTATTTGCATAAATATTGGTGAATATAAATCACGTTAGAACAAGTGTATTCAGTGGTAGTAAAAAGTTTGTTTTAACCAATGACATATATGAACAACACCATAGAGTAATTAACTGTCAAATGCTACCTTTTGAGACCAAGTTGTAAACTTCAGGGACCCTGCGAGATATTTCAATACGTTTGTGATGGTGGAATGAATGCTTGACTAGGCAGTGTGAAGAACACTTGTTAAGTGACTAGCCATGTCTACTTCACTGATGAGTTCATTACCATTCTCATCGGTGGATAAAAGCGTGTTTAAAGCGTAATCCGTTTCCATTGATGAAGTTTTTCCTGAAACAGGATCATCATCGTCATCATCTGCGCTTGTTACATTGAGACCAATCTTCTTTTTCTTCTGCCTAAACACTGCTTCGATCTCTTTCCTTATTTTCTTCGACGCTTTGACTCCCCGATTCAAAGCTGTTCCAGGAAAATCAATCGGCGTCGAATGAGCACCAATTGCCAAAACCTTTAACTCTGTTTCGAGTTCATTAAGCTTTTCAGGATCGTCAAGGCCTAAGAATATCTTGCAGGCAGAGTTAAGCGCGTATTTTCTTGCCATTTCGCCAACCTCAACCACTTGTTCGGACTCACTAATCCATTGTGTTTGCAACTGTTGTTTAATGATGGCATCAAAAACCGCGACGTATTCTCTAATAGCATTTCCTTTGAGGATAGTCGTGATGAACGCGCTGATCGTACGCATGCGATCAGCACTAGTCTTTACATCGGATTTGGGGAAGAGTTTGTGGATCGCGCTCGGCCACCATAGCTTGAGCAACTTCTTCTCGTTCGAAAACAGAATTTGTTCCCTTCAGAGCCATAAATCACGGCAACTGGTTGTCCTAATACTTTTGAACCCTCTCTACCACAAATTAATTCTTCAAGAACACCCTTTTGAGCTTTGGAGTAGAAATCCAATATCTCGCCTAAAAGAGGCCACCCTGTGCTTCCTGGGGGCAGCTTTAGCTCTTCTTGATCATCCGCTTTCAGAACAACTGAATCTGCTTAAGAAAAGATTTGTTAGATATAGAAACAGACAAGTGGATATTAAAGAGACAAGAAGCAGATGAATATCTGATGCTACTATCATCATTTTGTGAGTAATTTACCTAAATGGATGATGCTTTTCGGGTTTATTGTACCTAGAAAAATCAATCAAGTTTTCCGTTTATACTAACCACAATCGGCAGTTGTTACAAAACAAATTACAACCGTCCCTTTTTGATGATCCATTTTTTCTTGAACTAAAATATTACAACAAAGTAGATTATTAAATGTGATGGTTCATTTTTTTTTTTTTTAAATTTTGTTATTGGTATCGTTTAATGTAAATCACATGAAATGGAAAATGAATTAATAGTCTGCAACTCTGAATACCTCGTTGTTGATGTGCTAATTTTTTAAATCCTGCAGACATCATGATCTGGGAAGTATCTGATTACAATCAGAATAATAATAATAGTAATTCTATTCGGTAAACGATTCTGATTTGATTCCGATTTGGCGCCGGTATGAAACCACTTTAATAATTTTGTTCAAATAAGGAATTGTGTTACGTACGTATTCTGTTTCACCATGACATTGTCACCAAGTGCCATACTGTATATAGGAATTTTCGGCATTTACTGTTCTCCCAAACTCCCCGCGTACTTTAGAACTTAGGTCTGAGAAGTTCAAGACAGGAACAGGCTTTCTGGATTTTAACACATTTGCCCCAGAGCTTAGCCAAAATCATGCAGAAAAAGAGAAAAACGAATCTGGATCTCCTTGATCCGTATCGTCGATTCGACTTTATCGATCTTTCAGAAAGTCGTCGATCGTTTTTCAATCGACGAATATTATTTTATCTTTTTGGTTAGCAATTATCAGAAATTAAAATCGATGGCGCTGGCATCTCAAATTTGTGTCCCATATTAGATGCGCAATTTGTAATGAATCAGCATTACGATGAACTAATGTTGGAGTCGCAATTTGTATCCCATATCAGTACCGTATATATTTGATTTTTTTTTTTAAATTTTCATTGCCCGTAGTAACATTTTAAGTTGTTACTCTATATCTCTATATATATTAAGGGAGAGTTTTCAATCGGACACATGACGCAAATTTAGATAGGCTAATTCACGTGGAGCAAAATTAAATTACCAAGTCCACATGTCACAACCACATTACTCCATCATTTTAATGATCATTTTTTATTTGTAAATCCGTAAAATTTATAAATAACCAATTTTATTTTTAATCAAATAAGATAAGTTTAAAAAAGAAAATTATAAGAAATAAATATATAAATTAGTTGGTCCCTCACAACATTAACATGTTAATTAAATCCTTAATCTCAATGCCCGTGACAATACGGAAGATGACATTATTAATACTGAAACTCCTAACAAGAAAAGAATGGTGCTTGAAGATGCAATGATGACTTGAGTTTACAGCCTTCTACCAACAAAAAACGATTTTGACGCATATTTTTATCAATGCGTTTTTCTTATTCGAATAATTATTTCCAAAATTTTATTTTACTTTTTTAATTCTAAAGCAAATAAAATGTTCCAATATTACTTGGTACATGTAAAAGTCATAGTAGAGATAATTCCAACGCATGAATAATTATGAAATTTTTTGTTATTTTAACACTATCTCAATATACTTTTATATTAAGTATTGCTTTCATACTTAAAGCTGTTTATCAGTGATGAATGTTCGATATGCGTTTCAAGAAATTAATTTTGTGGCATGACGTATTACTAAGTTCCTTTAGTGGCTCATGGACGAGACATATTTTTTAGTAGCTCATTTCAAAAAAAAAAAAAAAAAGGTTAATTGGTAGAGTTTAAATTATGCCTCAACATCGAAGTCTTGGCCACCACCACTTTGTCAAACATTGGTAGTTAACTAGACAGTATCGGTTTTTACTCGGTTTATTTTTTTTTCATAAACCGCACAAATAATTACCATCATAATAAATTTCAATCTTTTCTTTCTATCGGTACCATAATGACTGCAACCATAATAATAAAGAGTCGGTAATCATTAATAAATTCAATTCCATTTACGTTGCTCGGGAGAATTAGTATTAAATATAATTAAATATCATTGTCAAATAAGATAAGTTTTAAAAAAGGAAATGATAAGAAATAAGTATTGAAATTTAATTCATGCACAATAACATTAACATGTCCAACTAAAAGAAAAAATTAATAAGATGCAAATTTTCTGTTGTCCAAAATCAAAATTGTTTCATCGTAGTTAAGAAAATTAATACTCTATACTGATGTTAAATAGTTTTTTTTTTTTTTTTTTTGCCTTTTTCATTGTATATGCACATTGGAATACAAGTGTGGTATGCAATTTTCATTGATGAATCTTCTAACCTTGATAAGAGGCACAAAGAATAAATTTAAATGCTTAATTATTACTCCAACAGCCAGCGTATATATATTCCCATGATTATGTTTTTATTCTTAAGTATTTTCAGACCAAAAAAAAAAAACATGTTCTTCTAAATAACACTTATATTATTCACTTATATTATTCACTTTCATTGTATATGCACATTGGAATACAAGTGTGGTATGTAATTTTCATTGATAAATCTTCTAACCTTGATAAAAATTTGTAATCTACATCAAAATATAAAAATCAATTAAATGACACTTCTGCTCCAAGTAACAGGCTAATAGGAAAAACTTCTCATGGCCAAATTAATTAACCAACTCTAAAATAACTTCTGCACCTTAAGTCCGAAATAAACACTATATTAATTTTATGAAAGACATACGAACAAATTTCTAAAGAAATGTTGCAAAAGATATATAAGGAGAAGAAAATAAATATAAGTTCATGGAAAGAAATAATGAAAAAAAATTGTTAGAGAGAGAGTTGAAAAAATATGATACGAGTAGAAATATTTAAAAATATTATTATAAAAAAATTAAGAGAATACTGTTAAAAGATATATATAAGTCATAAATCAAAAGGTTCCTTTAGTTGCTCATCGACAAGACTTTTTTTAGTAGCTCATTTCCAAAAAAAATTAAGTTAATTGGTAGAGTTTAAATTGTTCCTCAACATCGAAGTCTTTGCCACCACCACTTTGTCAAACATTTGATAGTTCAAGCCACGAGCAAATGAGCTACTAAATGTACTTAAAGAGAAGAAAAATATGAAGAGAAGAAAAATAAAGAGAAGAAAATGTACTTATTGACATTTGATATAAAGAGAAGAAAAATAATAATAAGTTTATGGAAAGAAATAATGAAAAAAAAATTTTGTTGGAGAAAGAATTGAAAAGATATGACACGAGTAGATATATTTAGAGATATCATTATAAAAAAATTAAGAGAATGCTGTTACTAAAAGATATAAAGCCATAAATTAAAATAATGAAAAAGAAATGGACAATAAGTTACATTAGGTTATTTTGAATATTAAAAATTACTCTAAATGTACTTAAAAGTAAAAATAATAAAATACATTAACATTTTTTACAACTTATATCATTAATATATATATATATATATATATATATTTCTCTCAATCAGAAGGTAAGGATCTTTAATATATATATTTACCATCACAAAATCATATAAACATTAAATTATTAACCTCATATATATCGTGAACAACTTGCAACGTGCGGGGTAAACACTAGTATATATTAAAAGGAAATGAAATGGGGTGATGACGTGTCTTTCAATTGCCCATACATTGATTTCACTGACACGTGTCATTTAGGTATTGGTCATCCATTAAACAGTAATAATATATTAATAAAATTGTTACTTTATAAATTTATCATGTATTGAGTTATATTTTCATTAGTTGGTTTTTTATTTTTAAGTTGTTAGGAGCATTTTATCTGCTACATCCTACCTATATATATATATATATATATATATATATATATTAAAGGACATCCTACTTATATATATATATATATTAAATGACATCCTACTTATATATATATATATATCTTTATCTTTAATGTATTAAAGGAGAATTTTTAATCGGACACATGTCGCGATATTAGGTAGACTAATTCATGTGGCACAAAATTAGATACCCAAGTCCACATGTCGCAAGTACATCACTCTATCATTTAATGGTAATTTTTTTAACGTAAAATCATAAATTTAGAGATAAAATTAAACTAACTAAAATAAACCAATGGAAAAAAAATGACACGATTATTATGGAATTTGTCAATTTAGATATACCCAACACAAAAAATCACAAAGTACGACACTGGTACAATACATAATTATAATCCCACATGCTTCTTTTTTCGCTACCTAATTGATTCGTCCTTTTTTTTTTGTTGAATCAATATAATTGCAGCCCTTATTGACGCTTTAGTTTGATTTGTCATATATATAATCCCAACACAAAAACCACAAAGTACAACACTGGAACAATACATAATTATATTACTTACCTTTTTTTTGCTACCTATTTAATTTTTTTTTTGGTTAGTTTGATTTCTCTATAATGTAACTTTTGGTAATATATTTTTTGTCTCTTAACGAGCAATACTAATAACTGATTACTATTAATTACGTCGTGTCAAAATTACAAAAATAAATTAATAATAATAATACTAAAAATATATGACATTACATCCCTTGGGTAACATTTCAACGTAATTAATATCGGTAATATTGCTCTTGCTCGAGTAAAGGGATCGATTTGAAGGAATTGAGAAGCTGAGTGCTCTTGCTCGGTAATATTGCCATTGGGTGTTACTCTTTTATTTGGTTGTTTCTTCCGTTTTCATCTCTAGACTATTCTCGGCAGTAATATGTAAGGAATATTTCGAGTAGTTGTAAGGTGCTCGAGGAAATGTATCTTCTTGAACACTTCGTGTAGTAATATGGTGATCGAGGGATTGTTGCTCCTTCGAGGAGATGTATGTCTCGAAACTCCAATCTTCGAGATTGCCCTTTGTGAATTATTCTTCTCGATCAGCTGTGGAGCAAGTGCAGCTCCTCGATTATTGGGTACAATATGGGCAATATTTATAATAATGAGTGTTTATTATTTATAATTAGATAGTCAAATCCATATATCATAATTATATCACTCCATCATCTAATACTAATTTTTTATTAATAAATTTGTAAAATTTATGCATAACCAATTTATAGATTACATTACATAACAAAAACAGAACATATTACAAAAACTCAAAAATTCAATTATGGGCCCGAAGCTTGATTTCATTTCTCAAC